TATAAGCAAAGCTAGTGCTGGGGGAAAAGTTCTTAATCAGTGAATATATAAGTATTAATTTAAAATAAACCATAAACAGTAATTATTTAAAAGATAAAATCAAAAATTATTATTTTGCTATGTACAAATATTAAGTTACAAACAGAAATTAAATAATAGATAAATTAAGACGCTTAATCATGGGCGCAACTAGAACACCAACTTTGGGAGTTCCAAAATTATACACAATATAGACTCGCGGGGGCAATGTCCCACAATCCCTTTTACATGACACTTATATTAGGCATTTAATACATTTAATACACATTTAATTCACATTTTTGTTATAAAAATATATCGTGACTTTTTTAACTTTATTTAATTTATGTTTTGTCTGTTTAGGTAATCTGTATTTGTTCTGTTAATTATTTTATTATGAAATACGTGGATAAAATATTTAGTCAACACTATAAATAAATTTATTAGGTGTTTTTGGGGGTGCTAGTTTTAAACTTGGGGGTACTAAAGACCCCCTAGCAACAAGCAATCTACGGGAACTACCATAATGCCAAGGATGCGTATTAAGTACAAACATTTTGTTAGAAAATACCTATAAAGGTGATAACACTGTTATCTCATATCATCCTTTAACCGCTGAATCACAGACTAAGATATAGTATAGTAAGATATAGTGTCAGGAATGGGCAAGTTACAGTATATAGTGTAACTGGATACAAGTTACAAGTTACTTTAATTTTGGGTAACTGATTAGAAGTTACAGTTACTGAAACTAAGTTGCATTATAAGTTACAAGCTACACATAAATACACAATAAAATATATTAAATTTTTTTTTAAATTAATTAAATGCTTTAATTAAGCACATACAATTACTTATATTATAATAAAATATGATTCAATGAACAAATTAATAATTTTAATTTAATAATTTAAATTATAATCATAGAAATTCATTAAAAGTAAATTATTGAATTTTTACAATGAAACTTAATGATAGATATCTTATAATGCATAAACCATATACTTTCCAATAGTTCCAGTATTTATAATTTGATTTATTTGTACATGAGTATAGCTAATTGTTTTAACTTAACAAAGCCTTCTTAAATATTATCATAAAATAAGTATTTTATAGAATTTAAAATAATGTGTAACAAACATGTAGATACATACAAAACTATAATATTATTGTAGTCATAAAATAATTTTTAGCAGTGTTAATACAAAGATTTTTAACTCTATTTTTCATTATTTCATAGTGTTCAGAAATCCACCTTAATTTAAATGTAGGATGAAAACAAGATGACAATATAGCTTCATCAACTTCAGGGGAGAGATCAAAATATAGTTTTAATTTTTTTTCTAACGAGGTTATTAATGGATCAATGAAGTTGAAAGTATAACGCACATTTTGTTCCTTTAATAATCACAAATGACTTTTTAATGAAAATAAAGTAGGAATTAAATGACCATAGTAAAAATTTGATTCACTTTCTAGATGATCCAGAGCACAAACGATTGGTTTCATTATTAAAACAAATTCAGTCAAATAACTTATGTCAGTTTTGTTAAATTGATACTTTAAACCTAATTCTTTAGTCAAGGTGTTTAATTTTGCTTTATGTTTAATTAATTGTGATATGGAATCTTATAATGAACTCCATCTTGTAATAACAGGGTATTTAAAAAAAACAATTTATTATATTACTAATAACTTCTGATGATTTCGGTCTTCGTGACAAATTCCATAAAATCGAATATTTTGATAATGGTACTTCTTGGCATTTGAATTCTTTCATATATTTTGGAAATCTGTTGTCGCTAATAGACTAAGGGTATGTGATCCACAATGTAAATGTTGGGGTAGTAGTGGTAGTAGGATGTCTCCGTCTTCATTTCCATCAATAACCAAAAATGATAACTCATCGTCTTCGTTAAGATCTTTGTTCATATCTAAATATATTGACTGGTTATAAAATTATTTATGTATAATATATACCTCCGTCAGAGTCTGATTTTGAATCAGTGATTGATGTCTTTATTTTACAACCAAACTCATTGAAAGATTTTACAAAGTTGCACCCATTATCCGTTACTGTAGAAACTAAGTTACTATTACTTAAATGGAATTTGCTAAATAAATCTACCATAATTTCTCCAATTTTATCAAATGTATGTGCACCAAAAAATTGTTGGCAAGCTAGAACACAACTATGACGGCCTTATGTTTTGTCATCGATCTAAAAATATTATAGCCTATAGGTGCTATAGGCTATAATATTTTCAAGTTTACCCAGTGAGCTGTAATGCCTATAAAACTGCAATGTTTTGTCGATCAAATGTCAGTAGTTGTACAAACGTGGACTTCAGAATGTGTTTCAAAAAATAATTTTTAACTATTTGAAACATTTTTATATTTGTCATTTATATGTCTACCAACTGTTCTCCTAGATATAATTTTTAGATTTGGATCTAAATCTAAATAAGTGTATTATTTGAAATTGGATTAAATACAATTTGTGTATTTTATAAATTATCATAAATAGGTACCTACCCAAAATAAGTTTTTGAAAATCTTTATTTTCAGTTATGGATAGAGGTTTCATATTTTTAACAATAAAATTAACCAAATTATTTTCATATTGGGTTTGTTTCAATCCTCCGCTGTTAGATGGGAATAAATTGTTTAGTTTTAATTGTTTAGAATTTGTCATACTTTTATTATTTTTTCTTTTGAGTATTCGTCTTCACATAATTTTCAAATTCTTCAAATTTAGTAAAATGAACCCTCTGAAAAGTAGAAAATTAAATTATAATTCCACACCATTTTAATTAATAATGCATATTGTATTAACTACAAAAATTAAAACTTGCCTTCATATGAGTAAAATTCGAAGTGTGTTTAAAAGAACCAGATATTGTTTTTTTTTCATTCTTCTGTTCCTTATATATCATACATATTGCTTTCACAATTTTGTTCATAACAATTACAACTTCAAAAAATTGTCCATCTAATATAAAGGGTGTTTTATCCATATTTAACAAAAAAACGCGTCAAAACTCGAAAAAATACCGACATTAACAAAATAAAACGTTAACTGATACACAACCAAATTCGGTTGAACTAAAACGAGTAATGCCATGATTATTCAAAGTACCTACAAATGTCCAATTTTACTTTTATAATATTTATTAGAGTTGTGATTATCTTTATACGATTAGATTAGGAAATGTCAAAATACATACGTCGTATTGCATACTAAATCATATCTACGGTTTTTCCAATCTTCTATATTCATGACGGAATTCTAATTATTATTTACATCGATACAATTTAATTTCCATGATGGTCATATTATTACCTATTATTATTAAATTATATTGTTATACTTATAGTGTATAATTATCAAGTTTTCAGAGTGAGTAATTTAATGTTTAAACAGTTTATTTTCTAAGACTTATGATAATATTAGCATTTTAAAAATAGTGGGTACCTATCTAAGTAAACAAAAATTATAAAATACATCATATTTGATTAGTTTTCTTAGTTTTTAATGAAAATATTCAAGTGTAACTGACATATCATTTTTATTGAATACAAAAATGACATGATTATTGTATTATTGATAATAATGTATTAGTATTGTAAAAATGTTAAATTATTTTTTTTTAATGATTTTTGTAACTTAAGTTACTTATATTTAATTGTTACAAGTTACATAACAAATTGTAACTCGTTACATTTAAAAGTTACTTTAAAATTGTGTAACTGATTACAAGTTACAAATTACAAAAGAAACCAAGTCACGTAACTTTAATATATGTAACTGATTACTGCCCATCCCTGGATATAGTATATCTTAGTCCATGCGCTGAACATTGATTTCTTTACTACGGTGTACGGTTGTTTAATATACACTTAGATATATCAGGTCTATAGCCCTCATTACTCAATGCACAATGTTAATTAATTACATAAATTAGTCAATGGTATTAATCTATCTTTATTGATATTATCTACAACCACGATATTATCTACCTACAATTTTACTGTGGCCATAGATATAAGTATATGGCCATGCTGCACGAATTAAGATATAGAGGATGTGGATTGAAGTACCTTATCACTGATTTTCTTGAGTCTCGGTGTTTCTCACCGTGCGACAAGACGCTTAACGCTTTTTGAGGAAATCGGTATACGTTTGAAATAAGAAAGTGATACCTATCATCTATTACCTAACAGCTGGCTACCATTAATTATATTGTTCCGTCTTCTACTTCTCTATGTTATTATAATAATAATTATTAATTATAATTTAATAAAATACAGTTATATCTGTTGAATGAATAGTCTATACAATTTAAAAACAAATTAGGTCTACCGATTTAGTTGGTTTAAACTGTATGTTAAATAAATGTATATATATTTGAACAAATCTTTAATTACAAATTAATTTTTTTTTAAATTTTGTTTGTACTTTTTTATTATTAGAAGCATTTGTTGTGATACCAGTTCTGTAATACACAAATACACTATACATTATTTTTGTAAATAAATATCATTACTGAATATTTGTATTTCCCTCCACCTGATAACAAAGTATCCACAATGTCCTCATTTAAAAAATAGTCTCCGCATACTCTTGACCTCTTATTAAGAGTTTGTCCCATTTTTGATGAGAAATAATAGGAACATTAAACATAGATTTAGTTGTCTCTGCGCAATTTTTAACACGAGACTTATCCAAACGAACCATAATAATCAATAAAAATAAAGATGTTAAATATAGTAATTTTAGGATAATCTATTATTTTGCAAAATGCGAGGGATAAATTATATTAATGGCCATTATCTAGTGTGTAATAATAAAATAAATATAATAATAAAACTAGATCGCGCTAGTAACTTTGCCGCAGCATAAGAAGGTTCGGGTCATAGAGTAAGGCCGGCCGCACACCAAGAGCAAAACTGTGTTAGACAGTGTTAGTCAGCCTAACACAGTTTTGTTAAAAATAGAACATAGGAAATTACATTGCATACGCACACGATAAGTCATAGTCAAAATAAAACGTTTTTGCTTTAAAACACAATTAGTCATGACTGATACTGTCTTAGTGTCCACATTTTTTGTTAGCCACAATTAGACAAGAAAGAATATTATTCGTGTGTGTTTTGTATTTCGTATATATTTTTTTATATACTTATATATATATATATAATCACATAATGGCTTGTGATGGGGAAATACTAGTCAGTTTAGTGGAAAAACGACCATCCATTTATGATTTTGGAGACAAGGACCATAGCAATAGAATTGTGCAAGACAAGTTATGGGAAGAAATAAGCAAAGAAATGAATTTTGATGGTAATTTTATTATATTAAGTTATTATATTCTAGTTAATATAATATATTTAAATAAGTATATTTAAATTTTATATTATTGTAAATAATAGTTAATACTAATATAATATATAATATAAAATTACTGCATATAAATTAATGATATAATTATTAATAAATGTGTACAACTCGATACAAAACAACAGTATTTTTTTTAACAAACAAATTTAAACAGTATTAAACAGTATATACATTTTGCCACGGAACTGATCCTATTTCAAAGTTAGAATAGTTCATAAACTTTTTACGGATATCCATAGCTTCTGTTGTGGGTTTGCGATTTGTAGGTATATTGATGTTTTCTTGGTTTACCCGTGATGAGATTGTTTCCATTTCATTATGAATGTCAGTTAAATTATGTTCTTTAACCATGATTAAATTGTGAAGTACACAAGCAGCTTGAGTTATGATAGTAGCTTTCTCCGGCTTAAATAACATTTTATTTTCAAATACATTAAATCTTTTTGTTAGAATACCAAAAGCAAACTCCACTATTCTTCTAGCTCATGATTGATGATAGTTATAAATTTGACTTAAATTTACCAATTGTTTTCTTGCAAATGGCTTCATCAAATTTTTTTTAGCGGATACGGTTTATCTGCAACAAATGCAAATGGAAATTCATCATTAACTTCTTCATGAATTTTTCTCGGTGAAAATAAAAGTATTTTATTATTGTCCAATAGTTTTCCAAAATTTGATTCTTTTCAAATTTCTCCATCACTGTTACAACCAAAATCACCTATATCTATGAATATAAATTTTGCGTTGGCGTCAGCTACTGCTTGAAGAACAATAGAGTGGTGTCCTTTATTATAATTATAATAACTAGATCCTGAATTTGTTGCACATTGAATAGCTATATGTTTGCCATCGATGGCACTTACAGAGTTAGGAAAATTCCGAAATTTGTCAAATTCTTTTTCAATATTCAACCAACCATCAGTCGAAGGTAAAGGCATAAACTGTGGTAATAGTATTTTCCATGTTGCACAACATTTATCTGTAACAATGTCTCCTGCAGTGGTAGCTCCTAATCTAAGATTATAATGGATGCGTTGAAAATGTTCACCAGAAGCCAAAAAACTAAAAAAATAAATGTTTCAATTACCAATTTTTACCTTTCTTTACACAAACCACTTTAGATTCTTAATGAAACGAAGTATGTATTAGTTTTAGAAAAAAGTTTATAGTAGGTATATCAAATATTGAAATGTACATTATAAACATTGTGTATGTACCTACAAATTGTTAATCATAATATTGTAAACATATTCTTTATATGCCACTGAATGATTATTAAAAATAAAATTAGTAAATATAAATTGTTTTCCTTAATTGAAATGTTTGTATTTATTTTTATAGTGTCGGTATGCAAAAGTAAGTGGACTAGTCTTCGCAATTCGTTTGCAAGAGAACTTCGCGAACTCAAAAATAAAAAATCTGGGTCAGCTGGGTCTAAAAAAAGAAAATGGTACCTTTTTGACAGTATGCGTTTTTTAGCTGATTTTATGATGCAGCATAAAAAAATGGGTAGCAACATTGATAACAATTATTTAAATGAATCCGAAGAAATCATAGAGTCTGGAAAAGATGATAAATTAGTAGTAGACAATACAGGAGATAGTATAGTAGATAATACAGTTATAGAGGTTGATCTAGACATTATTGAACCAATGTTTAAAAAACCAAAACTGACTTTACCTAAAAATCTATATAAAACAATAGAAAGCGATAAGGTAGCCGAACCGATGATAGAATTTTTGAAATCAAGAACTAAAAAGCCAACACAAGTCGAAGAACCTCCAGAATTGTTATTCTTTAAAAGCCTTATTCCAGACTATAAAAAACTTAATGATAGAAATCAAAGAAAATTCAAAAATTTAGTTATGTTGTCTTTAAATAGTTATCTTGATGAACAAGAAGACAATAATCAAATAGCTTCATAGCTGGACAAAACACAGATCAACAAATTAATCAAAATCAAAATGTAAACAATTACTACAGTGATTTTGATTCGGATTTATCTTCGTTTTCTCAAGGAAGTAACAATTCATTCAAATGATATTTTTTTTAAATTTATAAGTTACAATATTAATAAAAACAAATGTAAAAAAGAATTAACTTCAAAAAAGATTAATAAATTTAAGTTTAACTTTTTAACTGTTTAAAAAAAATATATTATGATATTAACTTTTAACCCATTACAAAATAAAAATTATTAAAAAACAATTAGGTATTTCTTACCTCAGTGTAACCAAAAGCCTTTCCTCAGGAGAAATACTTTTTCTAAAATATGTGTCTTCTTTCCTTATTTCTTCTCCTATTTCTTGCAGTATAAAATCAAATGTGTCACTACTTAAACACATATAATTTTTAAATTTACTTTCGTTTGAACATAGTTCGTATAGTAAAGTTAAAATTACATAATCAGTGATACGTGTTTTATTTAACGGATGAATCCATAATTTTTTTTTATAATTCTGTTCTAAATTTTGTAATGTGTACCACATGCAAATCACAACATCGTCATCAGATGAAATGATGACGACTGATTTTTATTTTGTCTAATGGTTTTTGTCTAGGTAGTGTGCGTTTTATAAAAGTAAATTGTTTTTAGTTGACTAACACGAAAATGACTAACATTGTCTAACACAGTTTTGCTCTTTTGGTGTGCGGCAAGCCTAAGTTAGAGTTCAGTTAGCAGGTTCACATGTGAATATTTTGCCCTTTTTGCTAACTAGTCTTTCACCCATACATTTCTCTTGCGTTTCTTCACGTGAAATTTTAAACAATTCACTGCCATCAAGAAACCAATAGTCGCCATAATGTCGTTATTTGACTTATCCATTTTTATTTATGATTATACGCTAGAATACGCGGATAAACTATATTATTGTTTAGACAGGAATATGATGCGGCCACGAAAAATTACAGTACGAGTACGCGCTGAAGTACAGACGTAGGTAGTAGTTACACTGAAAATCCTTGAGTAATTTCTGGGCGTGTGGTGGCGATGCCTTTCCTTGAGGATTCCCTCTACTGTGTACCTACCTTAATATTACTCTACGGTTCGGGTCTCACTTATCAATCGTTCGTTTCGTATCCAGTGTATTAATCTGTGCCATGCTGTGGTTTGCCTTTTCAACAGCGCGCTCTATTTGTATTTAATATAGTTAATTTTCTAACCAAATACGGTTTTAATAAATTATTTTCGTGTGCAATATTTTCAGAGAATAAACTTTTCCAGCATTTTATTTTCGTATAAATTATTTTTCGGCTAAAATGCTTTTCTAGTCAAATATTTTTCTGCTCGAATAATTTTCGTAAGTATATTTTCTACCGAATTATTTTCAAACAAAATATAGGTCACCCATACTGCCTATCATGTATGTTCCCGATGAGGAATGGCCCACGTAATGACGTAAATGATCATTAGAAGTCCAATAAAAACCACCCGATTGTTATTTATATACCTAACAGATAGTATTTTGAACTTTCCTATTTTGCTTTCGTTCGGGAATGAAACAAATTACATTTTGCTTCTCTAGTTCTCTAGATTCTAAATGTATTTTTATCTTATCTATAGATCATACTTTTCCCCTGTCAATTCTATACACATGTTTATGAGTAATATTAAAATACTATAAATAATGTTGTATTTATGGAATTAAAGTTTTAAATTTCAAGTATATAGTTACGGAAATAATAATTTTAGTTTAATACCATCATCAGGTTGTATAACATGATGTCTTATATGTTATAACTCGTGAAGACTTGTTTTTAAACAATTAATTCCATAAATTATGTATAAAAGTGTCAATTATCTCAAATCTACTATGTTGTATTTGTTCATCAATATTTTAATAGCATATTATTTTGTCGTTAGTTTTGTCGTGTTTTGCATCTCATGATTAGCCTGAGTAGGTATACGACGTACACGCACATTCTTACAATTATATCATAGAAAATAAATGAGCAATGCTATTAATTATGTCTGATGTGTGTATTCATTACTGACCCATACTGGCCATACAGTATTGTTAGTTATTACCTAATTGTTAGTTGTTTAATATTATTTGTTTGACTCAAGTCTAAAATCGATGAAATGGAGGAATGTATGAAGTAAGCATCATTTTTACTTAATACTTACCTAGGTACCTATTTTATTACTTAATACATATTTTACTAAATACCATTACTTGATGCACATAGCGTGATGAACTCATCCATACAATACCAATATTAATATATTATTTAATTTTTGAGATTTTTACCAAAACATAAAAAAAAAATTGAATTATAAGAATTTGAAGCTTTATCCATGTGAGTAATATATAAAAAAAAATTAAATTAAATTAATTAATTAATAATAATAATAATTAATTAAAAAATTAAAATAAATAGAAATTATCTCTGGGGATAATACAGTGGGAATATCTTTGTGGGACACTGTATATTATACATAACAATTTTATTTCGTTTAATAAACAGTCCATCAATTAATATCTGAAGTGTTGTTTGGTTATTTTAGTATGCAGATTTTAGATACATTTTAAATTTTTTTATGTTATAATTAATATTTTCCAGAGGTCAAAATTATTAACTTATGGTGGAGCTAACATATCAAGTGCAACAAAAATTATTTTTACAAAAATGTTATCAAATGAACTTGGAACTAAGATCACATTGACTGTATTATCTGCAATAGGACTGGACCTGAAAAAAAAAAACAAGTATTCTCAAAACAAATGTTTGAACTTCTTATAGGTGAAAATAAACAATTTGCACCTTTACAAATAATAAATTAATACAATTGCAAGCCTGGAATATGTTTTTGGAAAAAATTTGAATTTACCTACTTTTAGTCATCTCTTATTTTAATATAATATTTCTGTAATTTTGTTTTTTGTGACGTACATTTTGAAGATGATTGAATAAATTAGAGGGAAAACTTGAATAAAATATGTATGTATATACATTTATATTTAATAAGTAAAAATAAATTACCAAAAAGTAAAAAATGAATTGCATTTTAAATTAGTATAATTTATGTGTTTTAGATATTTAAAAAAATGTTTTTCAAGTATTACTTAAAAGTTAGTGAAGAAATCAATTAGTAAATGGTTAAAGCAGGCCAAAGACCGCCTAAGCAGGGAAAAGCTTAATACTAATGATAATAATTCAGACATAATTGTTTTTACTAAAACTATATGAATATGTTATATAATAAATTATTATTTTTTACTTATTATTTCCCTACTGTTTCCTTTGTTTCTAGAGCTCTAATAATTATAACTGGCATTTGTGTTTATTTAATATGTATTATTTATTTGTATTTTTTCCATTAAAAGAATCATTAGCTCAAAGTATGGAATTAAATATTGTGGGATGCATATTACATAATATATTAAACTGATAATTTAATTAAAATAGGAAGTATTATTATGTATTTTGGAATCCAAATAGGACCAATTATGGAATTAAAATTACTAATTTGTTGTATTATGGGACACAAATGGGTTTAATAATGGAATTGAAAAATACTGAAATAAGAAAAATATAAGAATTTTCTATAAACTTCTTAATTGGATAATCCCGAAATAAGGACATATTAACAATCCTATGAACATATTTTGGACATATGATTAATTGCCTGTGATCCAATTTGGAAATTGCTAAAATGGTCCCAAAGTTCCTGCTAGGATGTCCATGGACTTTCCACTATATATAGATCATATATATATATATATTAGTTTCTCTTAAAACGAACTAATTACAGAATCACCTTCAAAAATCCTATTCAATAGTACCATTAACAAATTTTCCAATTTTTTTCGAACATACTAGTTCTGATTCTAGTCTATTCATATAGGTAGTAAAATATAATTTAGAAAATTATTACTAATATTGCGCCATATTGGATAATAATAATTGCATTAATATAAAATGTTTTAAACGCATCACTACGAATGATTTTAGTGTTCATGAAACAATATATATCAAATAAAACAAGTACGGCTTCTCTTATCTAATCTGAATATTAAATAAAATTATTTTTCGTACTGTATCCCCTACTTATACTACTATACGTTTTTGAATTATTAATGATTATATAGTTTTGTTTGTTAGATATGTACCTAGTTGTTTGTCACTTCATATGTTTTACTGTAGTAATTTGGTGTAATAACACCAAGTTATATTATTGTTAATATTTTTATTGTCACTAATCTATTATACTGCAAATCAGTATACAATATTTAATAATTACCTATGTAATTATCTTAATTTAAAATATTAATATATTATGGTAGTAATAATTTATATTTAAATTGTTAATTTTAGTTATACATATAATATAGATAGGTATATTTTATTATAATATAGTCATGGCGCCTGGAAATAATTTGAACAATTCAAATAATGTTATTCTGCCTAAAAAAAAGGCTTTTTATTTAAAACAAGAGAAAAAAGGTGCATTTGCGGCTGTATTAATTTCTGGAATTATAATTGCTATTTTTGTGGTGTATTATTCGATACTAGGGCAAGAATCACGAAAAAAAAATTCATTACAACTTATTATTGCTGTAAGTAAATCTTAAGCAACAATTTATCAAAATAATACAAAATTGTTAAATGAACTGATTTTTCTAGGTCTTTAGACAAGGAGACCGAAGTCCACTGAAATGGGAAACGTATCCTAATGACATGTATCCGCCTATGGGCGAAGGACTTTGGCCAGACGGTCTTGGACAGTTGACTAATGTAAGAAATTACATGTTTTTAGTATATCAAATGTAGGATATTATGGCAATGAGTGATTAAAAAATAGACTGGCTTGCCTTACCGGGTCTTGAACTAATATAAATATTATCCATGTTTATGTTTTATTTTTTCAATTTTAATAATAAGTAATACTACAAATTAGCATAAGTACAGTAATTTTATTAAAAAGTATATTATACCATTGTTGCTTTTGTTTTTATCAAGGTATTTTATAATACCCACCTTCAATAATCATTTGTGCTATTTATTTTTTTATGGGGTATTTCAAAGTAAATATTTGCAATTAAAATGATACATACTTACCAATCATAAACTATTTTAAACAGAAAATTTCTTTTAGGTTTAATTTTGGTGAATGAAAACCATTTTCTATGCACAATTCTGTAAATGATAACAATTTTAAATTTATAGTTTTAACTGTTATAAGTAGGTTTTATATCTAAAATAAATACCTAATACCTTTGGGTATAGGCTCATAACAACTCAACATAAAAATATTACTATATGCTATTATATTACTATAATGCCTAGGTACTTATAACAATTAATTCATTAATTGTTTAACTATTTATTTAAATAATATAATTTACACTTGCAATAATGTTTATTATATATTTGTTTTGAAGGCAGGCAAATTAAAGTCCTATGAATTTGGAAAACTGTTTCGAAAACGGTATACAAAATTTCTTCCAGTTGCTTACAATAGTAACTTATTTCATATAAAAAGTACAGAATTTGATCGTACAGAAATGACAGCTTCAGTATTTTTAGCGGGATTATTTCCGCCACCGGAAAATCAAATTTGGAACAAAGATTTGCTGTGGACACCTGTACCAATCTATTCAATATCTCCAAATGAAGATAATGTTAATTTTAATTTTAGATTCTGAGCGGTATTAGGAAATTATTATATTTTTTCCTCAGAAGTCCAAAGATGTATTTTGTTTTATATTATAAGTGAAGTATTATTAATACATAGTATTATCAAAATGTAAAATCTAAAAAATTTCGATTTTTTAAATATTTAAGATTTAAAAATTTGAATCTCGAAATATTTAACTGTAAATGACCATTTTCTAAAAAATACTAAACTTTTTTAAATGAAGTAATTTTTTTTAATTTTAATTAACAAAGAGAGTTATCTAATTATTAACTAAATACTTAAACCCTGTTTCCTATCCGCTTTTTAAAAATATAAAGCTAGGTAATATATAAAATAATTGAACAAAAATAATTTTTACTTTTTTTTTTTAGATACTTAGAGTTACAAAACCATGCCCTGTTTACAATGTAGAATTTGAAAAAGCAAAAAATGCAACCGAGAAACAAATGTTGTTCAAATATAAAACATTTTTCAGTTATTTATCTAATCACACGGGTATGGAAATACAACATCTTTCAGACGTTGAAAATATATTTAATTCATTAACTATTCAGGTAATTTATAATGATTATAATAATAATAATAATTGGTTACAGACACATCCAAATATACCCATTTGTGAAAATCTAAGGTGTAGATGAATATAACCATTACATAAATCATCAAACTGTAAAAAAGCATTACATTTTAAATAGATAATAAAGGTATAAATGGTTTTAAGAATATAACTGATGAACAATATTTATGAATCAAATAAAAATAAATAAAGTCAAAATGTATATGTATTTAATATAGAAAAAGAACTAAGCCTGGAATAATATAAAGGTTGTACTGGTATTGGTCATATTTACACACAACCTTATATAATTTACATATATATAACTTTTTATTTATATTTTATTGAGTATTAATTAAATAGTTCTCAATTTATATGCTTATCTAATATTTGAGTATTTAAAAATAATATACAATATATATACATGTTAGCATATATTGGGTACAGAAGATAACGTTTTACCAATCTTGCACCCCCCCTCCTATAAAGCTTTTGTGGCATGTCTATAAAATGATTAACATTTTTATAATTTTATAGCAAAGAAATCATCTAACTTTACCATCATGGATAAAAGTAAAAAATTACATGGATTTTATGGAAGAGATAGTTTTAGAATGGTTAATTACTTATTCAAAAACAGATTTAATGAAAAAACTAAGGTCAGGTAAACTTATTGGAGAAATAGTTAGACTGATGAGAGACAAAATGGACGGAAGATTAAATCCAGATAGAAAAATGTTTGCATACTTTAGTCATGAGCAGACCTTGATAGATCTTTTACATACACTGGGAATGAAAAATCTTTTTAAACCAGGTTATGGAGCCGCAGCTTTTATAGAACTACACAAAATCAAAGGAGAACATTATGTAAAGGTAAATAATATAAAATCGAGGATAATTTTATTTTAAACATTGAAACATGTGAAATTATTGCATTTGAACAATGATACTGAATAGAGTTTGGGAATTAAAATTTTGACTTAATGGATTTCTCCTCAATTTTCAGATTTTTTATTTATAATATTCCATAAAACTTTTTTATAATATCTAAGAATATGACAAATAATACTTTTGTGACATTTTTTGATCGTCTTACAGAGTGTTTTCTGTGAAAATAAAAGTAATAAGAAAACCATACACAATTGGAAAACTAATAAACTTATCTTTTATTTTCTGTTCAGAATTACTAATTCAGTTTACTAAGAAAAAAAAATAATATTATAAAGTATGTAAATATTTATTAATTGTCACTTATTATTTTATTTTTCAAGATAATCTATTCAAAAACGTACGATACTAAGGAATTTCTGTCTTTAGAAATGAAAGATCAAACAAATTTTTTGCCAACTCTAGAAGATTTCATAATAGCAATGGAAAATTATGTACCGAAAAATTGGGATAGAGAATGTCAGCTTAAATAGTTATCAGTGTATTATACAAGGTATTAATTAAATAAATAATCTTACTTAAGTGAATGTAATATATTGTACACGTAGGCATTATCGTATATTAGGTATACAGTGTTATCTAAAAATGTAAGTAATAATTATTAAAACGATTATTTGTTGGAAATGTTAAGTTTGGAATTTTATTTTAATCTTAATAATCAATTATCTACTGTATGTTTTATATATCTCTATAAAAAGTCAGCCAAATAGTTGCTTAAATAGCAACCCTGTTTACACAATCAAATATTTGAGGTTTACATCAAACTCCAAATATTTTAAAAAAGTTCCGTCAAGAAATCTACTTACTGGATCGATAACTAATTACCATTATAATATTATATGTTGGAGTAAGTACCATTAAATTTGAATGTTTGTTTTTGTACAATTTCTAAAATTTCTATAATTAGTACAGTTGTATTAATTTTTCGAGGTCATATTAATATAAATATTCATATATAGTGTACATAGGTTACTACATCTATATATGTATACTATTAGTGTATGTATAATATATACTTATGAATTAGTGTGATAGTTAATTGTACAACTTAAATTTGTGTAGCTAAAACTATTGTTATATTTGATCAATCGCTACGGAGTTTTGGTTATGGATATTTTGATAAAATATTTGATCGTCCGAACCATTTTTCAAACCAATTTTTAAAGTTTGCCGTTCACTAAATATTTAATCATGTGAACCGGGCTTTATACATTCGAAATAATTAAAACGCTATATTTGAATATTATTGATTATAAATTGTACCCAATTGACCGTATTGTTCAAACTGCATACTGCATAGTACAAGTACCTATCTACTTATTACAATATTACACAATCGTACGGTTTATTATAAAACAATTGTATACGTTTCCAGATTATAATTAAATTATAATTTATAATAGAGTACCTAGGTGTATAATACTTCGAGTTTATCATGACGTTTAATTATAGGTTCTTATCTTATAAGTCCTTTTATCTGAAAACGACCGGTATTTTACTTCGTCGTCATCATATTATATAAAGTCGTAATAAACAGAACACAGAAATATTGTATTGCTAACAATAATCACATAATGATATTATAGTAACGTATTTATTAGGGTTGATTATACAATTACATAGTTAAATTATTATTCGGTTATTAAATATAATTTTAATAAAAATTACTTTAAACAATATAATATTGACATTGAATTAACAAAATGATTAATTTTAAGTTTATTATATCATGTTTGTTGATAATTGTCATGAATGATTGTGTTTCGAAAATTGTGAATCAAAATAATTTTCAGTTAAAATTTGTTTTCATAGTAAGTATTATTTAAATATTTGTGTACACGACTTGATTATTATTGGGACACCATATTATTATTTTAGTATAAATCATAATTATTTAACTATAAGATATAAATGTCATATCTGTAATTAATATAAGTGTTGCATGAATATTATGTTCGATGGCATACATTTTAAATAAATAAACACATAGTATAAACTTGGTTAAATCAAATTAAATTATTTACTTTTTGATTTCCTTAATTCTAACCTATCTGTTCGTATCGGTGGTTCTTAGCCATTTTTGAATGACGAAACACGAGACAGCCGTAGAAAAAAACAAAAAATCAAAACGGTATTTATGCAGATTTTCCATTTTTTTTTTTCTATCGATTTTGAAATTTACGCGGAACGCTTATTCTAAATCCACGGAACACCGGTTAAGAACCACTGGTCAATGTGCACGTTTGTCCGGGCAATTTAAACTACGGATATGAACAAATTTTAATTATAGACGAATTATGGTGCATTATTAACACGCCGCTCGCCGTACCGCCACACTAATACGCCACCATGCTACACTATTCTCCTCCAACCAAAAACTTAAAAGTGGAATATCCCTTCAACGGAAATCATACAATTTTAACACTAAAATTTATTTTCACTAATACTCCATTTGTTTATGGCATTTTTAATATAGGTTGCCATTTGAAAATCAAAAGTAGGTAGCGGTTTTACCCCCCAAAAATAAGGTTGTCAAAAAAATAACACAAATATAAAATCGTAGAGCAGCTTGTTTCTTAAATGTTCTAAACAACGAATTCCGGAAAACGTTAATGCTTTCCGACATAGTGAGTGCGCCCACTTAAATGAATCACCCGGTGGTATGTGTAATATACAAGTTAGGTAATAATTAAAAATTGCTTAATTTACTTGGTATTCATGGCTTAAATTTCCCGGGATTCCACATTGCCCGTGACATAAATAATTTATAAGATGTGAAAATGAGAACGGTCCCGGGAACCACTCGTCGTATTTTTTTTTTTTTTTTTAAACAAAAGAACAGGTCCATGGTTCTAAACATGATTTCAATATTGTCTAAGTTGATGGAAAATTTGAGATATTAACTTTTAAAATACGCTCTAGAGTTTATACCACTATAAACGCTTTATGATTCGAAAAAAACATCATCGCGCGTTATACGTTTTACAAAAACCGTTTTGCTCTACTTTTACTTAATTAAATATTCGCTGATTATAATTCGTACGCATTTAATCTGTTTTATTCGCTTTTTACCTAACGGATGGTCCACACGCGAAAATGCCTTCCTAACACATAACAACTATCAACTTGGCGTGCAAATAGGATGTTATTTGGGCCGAAGAGAGTAAGTGTGAAGGGAGGAGGAAAGGAAAGTAGGTGAAGGGAGAGTAGGGGGCTACGTAGGCACGGTCAAAGCAGTACATGGGGTGGTAACTGTAATGGAGGCGGGGGTGTATAACTATAGTGATCAGAATGAAATAAAAACGAAAAATATGTGTTATTAGGTGAACCAGGCGAGAAACTTTTTTACTGCACGGAAAAAACAAAAGAGCTAATACTGGGAACGGGTGTGCTACTGTTGTACAGATATTGTTGACATTTAAACGAAGATCGTAAAAGTCACGAAATTTTGAAATATGTTCAATTTAGGTTAAATAGTAGTACACCCGTCAGCAGTATTAGCTCTTTTTAAAATTCTAGTTAGGTTTGCATGTTATTTTATTGTTAAAGAAAAATTACGATTCCAACATTTATCTGATGGCTTCTTTTTTTCGGGGAGACCCTCCCCCGCCTTAATCCGCATCTGCTTATAGTGTGTCCCACCATGTTCGACGGATTTTTTTCTAGAGCTGTTAGTTTTAAATATTTTTCAGTTTTTTTTTTTTTTATCAATCGGTTCGTCTCCGAGGCGGACATCGATTTTTATTAAATATTAATTGCTTTTTTCACAATTATTTTCTAGAAATTAAAACAGCTATTACTGTGAAACTATTCATCGGTTATGAATGTGCGATACATTAAAATGTTTAGAATAATTTCTTTTACAAAACGGCTTTTTTGAAAAATTTTTAAAATCAATAAATAGAGGTATTTTTTTTTTTTTGTATTTGAGGGATGGAAACAAAAATTTTATATTTTTTTCCAAATCGATGTCCGCCTCGGAGACGAACCGATTGATAAGAAAAAAAATAAAAAAAACATTTAAAACTAACAGCTCTAGAAAAAATCGGTCGAACATGGTGGGACATTCTGTGCCTATATTATACTATTGCAATAAAGACGGTCGGAATCAAATTCACACTGGCTGGATGCCTATATAAAATCTGGAGAAACCAGTCGAAGGAAAATCGTCGTAAATGTATATTAACGGTACGTACGTTTTCTGTGTCCTCCACGTATTCTTTACGCTTAGCTATCGCGGCACATGAATCGGGCGCCATTGATCGAATACAAGAACATCACCAATCGCATAAACTGGCCGCGTGGATTGGGCGAGTTGACCGACCAAGGCATATGGAACGCGTACCGCGCCGGCCAAGCATTGCGCGAGCGGTACCTCGGCTTTTTGCACCCGTTGCAGCGGTACACTCCCAGCGAGATTGACGTGTCCAGCACGTCGGTGGAACGCTGTTACCAGACGGCCGGTTACCTGTTGGCCGGCATGTACCCGCCCAACGACGAGCAGACATGGAACCAGCTACTGAGATGGCAACCGATACCCATCAAGACCAGCCTTTCCAAAGACCATCAACAGGTGAGATAGGCATAAACGACTTTCGAGTTTCGGGTTTGGTCTAGACATCTAAACGTACATCATGATGGGACATGGGCGCACTTTATGCCTCATTTTCCCACACCACTTTCTGACTTGTACGCACTATATTATAACTACACCAATCAACCAAAATTCCTCCAGATTTTATAGTTTATTTACTATTATCTACATACATCGTATCAAATCGGTATTATCTTAGAGCTATCGGTCAAACGATGCTTTTGGACCAACTAAAATTCTCTAATTATTACTTACGATTTGCGTACAGTTTTTCCCTATAAGTTTAAATACAAATAATTACTTGATAAATAAAAAAAAAAATAATGATAGTTTGCAGTGAACCCAAGTCTATGTCCGAAATATTCAGTGGAATTACATGAAGCAACTGAAACATTCATGAATACAGAAAAATATAAAAACTTAGTCAAATATATGAAAAACTATACATCATCTACATTAGATACATGTTATGATGTATTAAAGGTAGCAGATTTCATTTGGACCGAAGTAGGTACCTTAGTTGAAATAAATTAACATATCATTTGTTTCGAATAATAGTGAAATGTTAAAATTATATTTTTCTACATACTTTAAATTATATAATTAAATATTTGATCTTATTATTCAGCATATGGCTAACTATTCGATTCCTAATTGGGCAATGGAACGAAAAGATGATATTGACAAATATATATTATCCAGTATGGAAATCTTGGTTGAGACCGAACAAATGAAACGTTTATTCTCAGGTAGGTAATTAAATTAAAATTTGTATTCATACAAAAGTTAAACATATTTATATAAATAATTGTGTTTAAGGTGATATGTTGAATGATATATTAACACGAATGGAAGCATCAATGAATAAGTCATCAGATGCAAAAAAAATATACTTGCACATAGGTCATGACTCGACCATAGTTCCTTTTCTTAAAACACTAAATATAGAGAACGTAACATATCCCCTTTATGGAGCTGCGGTTGTAATGGAATTATATGCAACACCTTCAAATGAAACTGTTGTAAAGGTAAAAAAAAAATTAATCTACAAATCATTAATCAATTAATAATTATAAAAATTAACTAGCTATTATACAACAAAGACTATAAATGGAAAGAGTCGGATATAAAATTAATCGAATTACCTGGCTGTCCACAACCATGTCGACTAGAAGATTGGCGTACATACACAAAAAAAATAATACCTTTTAATTTAAGTGAAGAATGTAAAAATTAACAACATATGAAATATGGAACACCAGTGAAAGCATTAATCAAGATTTCATTGAAATGTTCTGATTTTTTTTTTTTAACTTTTAACATTCAATGCAACAACTAATGTCTGATATTAAATATTATATGTCTCCAAAGTATACTTAATTTAAAAAAAAAAAAAAAAAACATTTATTTTAACTTATCAATAGTGATTGATATACTTAGATTAAATGTAATTATTTATTCTACGGTCGACAGCACAGCAATTTGATATAATATACTTATCTAATTGGTGAATTAATTAGCTTTACACGCATTACTTTAATAATAATTTTAATTGAATTGTGATTTTATTATCAATATTTTTTTTATGTTATTAGCTTCAAATATTTAAACTAATAATAATTTAATTTATCCCGTAGTATGTTCTTCACAGTTTCAAAATAAAATAATCTTAAAAAGTTTAATATTTTGTTATCAAAAGATAAATTTACAGTTTGTGTTTAGTAAATTATTATTGGTGTCCTTTGCTATTTTGTTAGTTAAATATAATATCAAGTAAAATTATGGCAATATATAGTATTAAAATAATTTTTATTGGATTTCTCTATGGAGTATGGGCAATCAATCTCTAGGTACCTAGTCAAAATTCCCAAACAGTTTACCAGGAAGTCAACAAAATACAAATTTGACATTTGATTATGTTGTATCAAAGTACCTTTATTTATATAATAAATTAAATGTTTAATTAATTTTTAAAGTTATTTCTTGCTTAATTATACGACTTGATATATATTAATATATTAATATGGTATTAAAATTACTCTTGATAGCAAAGAACAACAACGAAAATATGTTTAGTGTGATCAGAATAATTTATTAAAATTATGGGCAATAAATAATTGTTCAGTTTAAAAACTACTAAATCAGTTATATGATATTTTATACTAAATAAAATGATTTATTCTCGTTTCAAGTATTTCATATTTTTTTTAATAATTGTTGAAAGTGATTGTGTCTCAAAGATTGATACTCAACATAATTTCCAATTAAAATTTGTGTTCATTGTAAGTATTACATATTTAATACTCTATTAGATATTTCTTTGCATTTCTACCTACTAATAAATGCTGAAAATAATTAAAATATGAAACCTTGAAAAATAAAATTCATGTTAGGCGTGTCTATCTACTTCTGAATCCACACAACATGGTCATGTATAGACTACCCATACCATATGTAAGACTACCTGCTTTACCACTTAAACAAAAAAAGGTATCTAATTTATAAACATTAGGTACCATGTAATAATATATGTGTGCCATATAGTTTTGAGTAGGTATGCAGTGTTTTTATTATGGAATATTGTTTGTTATCCACAAATATAATAATTGTTGACTGCTGAGCCATAGACAAGAAAAACCATCATGGTCTCAATAATGGGTAGGTACCAAATTATTAGGTGGGGAAAAACCGTAGGAAAACGTACAATTACACGATTTCATTATTTTTTTATTAAAAAACACAGCTGTTTTCTACCAGAAAAAATGATTTAATCGAAAAATCACAAAACACCTTTTGTTGCCTTTTTAATTTACTTTCTTACTGTATCACTTTAACCACTTTTGAGTTTGTAAAGAATTTTAATTTTTGGGAGTTTTTTGCTGTAATTCGGTTATAAATACAAGTAGAGACTTGAAACTTAGTAATAATACTTATATTGGACTTACCTAGACGTAGTCAAATTTCCAAATTCATCGGACGACTTTTTTTTTTTAATAAGCGTTTTGAAATCAAATTTACGAAAATCGTAAGAAAAAAAATACGGCACTTCAAATTAAGTATTACCGAACTGCGCTCGGATTGTTTTTCGTCAAGCAATGGCTTATCGTTGCTTATAGATATAAATGAAATAGCTTATCCTACCTCTCCAACTTCTCACCTACAACAGTAGCCGCTCCCATCCCCAGAATCAGCTTTTTTTTTTCAAATTAATAAATTCAATCAAATTAGTAAAAATTGTAGGGATAATGATATTGCATTTATTTTAAAGGTTCTTGGAGTAAAGGAGGTTTAGATAAGTACTAATAATTTTCGTATTATAAATCGCGCATTATTGTACATAATATATTATACACCCTGAAAATGTACTGAAAAGAATTACTAATGAGGAGAAGAAGTACTGTCTTAGGTACTTATATATTCTATAAATGGCCATCGCTGTTTGTCAGACAAATAGAAATTAATCTGCCCGGGTAGGAATATTATTATTTTAAGATTTCTGTGTGCAACACACTTTTGCGACATTTATAGTTGATGAGGCACATGAACCGGGCACCGGTGATCGAATACTGCAAGAACGATGTGGTGAAGTGGCCTCATGGCCTTAGCGCGCTGACTGACGAGGGCATATGGAATGCTTATCGCGCCGGCCAAAAACTGCGTAAGCGTTACATCGGATTTTTGGACTCACTACGGGGGTATACACCAGACGAAATTGTGGTGTCCACCACGCCAGTCGAAAGATGTTACCAGACAGCCGGTTACTTGTTGGCCGGTATGTACCCTCCCAACGTGCAGCAAACATGGAACAAGCAACTGAAATGGCAACCGATACCCATCAAAACCAGTCTGTCCAAAGACCATCAGTCGGTGAGTGTTGTCTTTCTGAATGGTCGATCAGTCGCAATTTTTATAATCATCTACTTTGCAAAACCTCTCTTATTATTATTGTCTCCTGCGGTGATGGGATACACGTTGCAAGTGCACAATTTTCAAAAGACGCTGAACAATAGCTTATTTCGGTAAATTTGTGAAATGTACACCTGATAATTTCGTTTAAAATTAAAACAGTTTACAAGGAACCCAAGGATGTGTCCGACGTACGCTGCAGAATTACACAACGCGACTGAAACTTTCATGAAAACAGACAGTGTCCAAAAATTAATCAACTCTTTGAAAATGTATACGTCAAAACCATTAAATACGTGGCGAGATGTATTAGTAGTAGCAGATGCCATTCTGACCGAAGTGAGCCCCTATAGATTAAATAGACACTATTTAAAATATATTTTGATTTTAAGAAAAACCATCCTTATAATTAAAAGGGTATATCAAATACATTTTATGTTTCATATGTTTAATATTTTTAATATGATTTATTCAGCATCTGGCCAACTATTCAATTCCGAATTTTACAATGGAACAATATAGCAATATTGAAGAATACATCTTATCTGTTATGAAAGTGTTAGTTAAAACAGATAAAATGAAACGTTTATTCTCGGGTAGGTAATTATAAATGTGTACAAATCACTATCAGAATATCGTATAACAAAAATATTACCAGTATAAAATGTATCTGCATTCAGCAATATAATTTATTTATTCAGCCAAATTAATTACAATTTATTAGCTGATACGTTTACCAAATAAGCTATAACTCGTATCTGATATATAGAGTTTATGAATATTATTCAATAGTTAACGCCATATTTCATTATATCTTTATATGATATTTTGCCGGTATACCAATTTATACTTCTACATTTTATTAGTAAATAACACAATTAAAGATATTTCTTTAATTGTGGTAACTAATGAAAAATATTTTTATTTTTATTTGTATGTATCAAATTGAAGGCGATATGTTAAATGATGTATTAACAAGGATGGAGGCATCAATGAATAAGTCACTAGATGCAAAAAAAATATACTTGCACGTGGGTCATGACTCGACCATAATTCCTTTTTTTAAAACACTTAACATAGAGAATATAACACATCCACATTTTGGAGCAGCTATTATAATGGAGTTGTACATAACACCTTCCAATGAAACAGTTGTAAAGGTAAAAAAAGATATATATACTAGGTAAATTGATTATTAATTTAAATAAATAATTAGCTATTATACAATAAAGACCATAAATGGAAAGAATCAGACATAAAGTTAATCGAATTGCCTGGTTGTCCACAACCATGTCGACTAGAAGATTGGCGTACACACACAAACAAAATGATACCTGGTAATTTATTTGAAGAATGCAATATTACTAATAACAATTAAAAATATTAAATATAGAACACAACTGCTTATCCATATTTTTCTATTTCTTTACTTATTATTTTAACTTTAAATACTCATTCTATTTGTTTCCATTTAATTAAATATAGTTTTATAAAATAGATGGTACGTCATTTTTATTTTTCCTATAGTTTAAGTTAGACAACTACATCTAACAAATGCCCAAGTAGAAAGTTTATTTTTGACATCAACGATGTCAGCAAAGCTACAATGGAAGCCATTGAGCAGATAAACATTTAAATATAAAAGTTATACTGCATATTATATTATAATGTACTGTTATAAACTAAAATGTTTATAACTCATGATGTACTAATAATTTAACATTTTTTTATTATATTGTGGTAATTTATAATGTAGTGACCATTTATATTATCAGAATTACACTCGTGTCAAAAATGTATGAATCGGATGTCATTACTTTAATACTCTGGAATATAAAAAAAAAATTACAAAAACGTTATATCTATTATAGTAACAGTAATATCCTGAAATTATATAAAAACCAATGGTTCCTAAATTCGAATAGGTATTATGAATAAATTTCAGATTGTTAACAAATAAATGTCTATATCCATAGTTTATATATTTTTTCTGTTAATACTTAGCAAAATTAACCTAATGTATCGTCCAACACATCTATTTCCTTAGATATGGTACTCTAACTTCATACTTGTGAAAAAATTTTTTCTGAATAATACAAATCAGATTTGTATATTTCTAAATAAACCCAGGACAAAATGTCTAAATTTTATTAGTTTAGATCAGTTCACTGTCTGTATTGGGTATTAGTATAGCTCAGTTCACTCACTGCCTATAATGAATATGGACAGAAACCATAACAGTAAAACTGTATTACTATGACACTCACCAAAATAGAATATTTGAACATCTATTGTCATTGCTGTATAATATAATAATGTAATCATCATAGTGTGGCGAAACCTTAATTTATATGTTGAATGAAGTATGGATTGAGGTTCCAATAAATAAACTAATTTATAGACAATCAATAAGTACCGGTTAAACTTATATATTATACTTATACAGAGTTTATGACTAAATATATAGAACATAATGTATCCACTTTATGTAATTGTTTTTGTAATTGAATAAACATAAGTTAATATAAATAAATTAATGATATTTAATAATTAAATATAATATTAAATGGAAAATTATTTTATTAAAAAAAAAAAAAAAATCAATACTGTTATTATACAACAAATATTATGAATGAAAATAATCAAATATTAAGTTAATCAAATTTTGCTAGCTTTTCAAATACTATGACGACTAGAAGATTGGAATACAAACACTAAAAATGACTCATTATAACATAAACTAAGATGTTAAAATTAAAAATATCAAATATGGAACACTGTTATAATTTGAGATGGAATTTTCTTTTTATTTCAATTTTAGTGTTTATTCACCCTTGGAGATTACTTCCAATCTTTCCAATAATTGAGGATGAGTATGATGCCAAGCTGAGTAAAGTTTGTCATAAATGGGAAATCCTAAGTTTTCATTGTTTAATCTTATCAATCCGCTTTCAAGTGCCTTTGCTTTACCAAGCTTTTTAGCAAATGCGTCTGCTTGGAACTCAAATTGTCTACTTAGAGTAGTCATGGCAAATGTTATAACAGTGTTGTATGGAGAAAAAACATACTGAAATATTATTGCTAAACCAACAATAACTGGATGCACCGATTCATAAAATCCAAATGCTCGGTATAACATTGAATTGTCGTACAACCATCCAAAGAAAAATAGCATGATAAATAAATTTACCTGAAACATAAATAATACAATACCACAAAAAAAAAAAAAATTAAAATAATAATAATGGATTATACCTGCATTATCACAATGTTAAACAATACATGGTTTAATTTCCAATGACCCAATTCATGACACAAGACTGCCAAAATCTCTTCATCATTCATCCCTTTTCCTTTTTCTTCTATTTGTTCATTGTCATTTTTAATAATTTCTTTTTTATCTTCTTCAACTTCATTATCAATAAGTGGTTTTTTATCATCTTCTAATTTTTTGTCATCCTTAGTATCTTTGCTCTCTTTTAATAATGTATCATATAGTACAATACGTTTATTATTGAAAAATCCATAAAAATATGCGTTGCTATGAGCTGAACGTTTTGATCCTAAAATGAACACTTTAATTAGTAACTCAGGTTTTTTTTTTTTCAAAATAATAACCTAATATCGAATATTAGATGTAATATCACAAATTAAATCATATTATTAATTATATTTATTGCAATGTTGGGAAGGAGCACATTCCTTTTATGGGATTGAAGCTTGGGATGTATTCTATTTCAAATATAGGAATGAGGAACAGGAAAAAAGAACATAAAAGCAAATTTCCAATCTTTTTATTACACATAAAAAAAAGAAGGCACGTTATTTTAGTTATAATATTGTCTAGAAATTATTTAGTTTTGGTACCACTTCGTCAATCATTAATAAATTACCACAATGGCATAATGTATTATTTCCATTTTTATTAACATACAAGGTAAACAATATGATAATGTAAACCGGTTTTTTTATATTATACATATAATCATGAAATAAATTAATTTTGAGTAAATCGATGATTTTGTTTTTTTCAAATAATACTTTATCATTTTTATTTTTTTAGGATAGGAAATAAATTTACATGTCAATTCTAAAAAGTAAGAATAGTTTCCAATTTTCTTCGACTTAATTAACTTACACTAAACTTATTTTTTTGTCTATATAAGTGTGAAGTAACTCATGGAAACCTTTAATATCAAATACGTATATATTTTAAAATTAATAATATAATCAAACCAATTTGGACTGTATTAGGTATTCAAAAAAAAAGAAAAAGGAGTTATTTTTTTTTAGTAGGAACAAGGAACAGGAACAAATTTCTTTTTAAATGGAACTTTCCCAACAATAATTTATTGTTTACTGTCATATTTTGTTTCATGACATGAAATATAAAGTTAGAATTATATTTTTCGTTTTAAATTATACCTTCTACTATATATATTTTGAATAGAGGAAATTTGACTTGTTTTGCAAGCTCTTCAATTTTGGTCTTCAAATTGCCATCCGGTAATAGTGTATATTTATCAAATAATGGTGCAATAAATTCTGGATATATTGTCATAAATAATAATGTAGTTACAAGACAAAATACCCATAAATAAATGAAGAAATAGCGTCCTCCCCATTTAACAATACCAATGGTTGCTGCAGTAATTGGTATTGTTATCGCTTGAACCAATATGAAATTCTTGATTTTGTCTTTAGTAAAGAATCCAACAGTCTAGTTTTTTAAAAAAAATAGTACATTTTTACTAGCATTTTACAGAAATAATTAAATAGTTAAATAATTAGATAATTTACTTGTTTATTAAAACCATGTTTTTCTTCAATAACAAAAGTGCTATAAATAGATACTGGCAAAGATGTCACCACACTAATGGTATTCATTATCAGAATAAATACACAACTAATCATTATTTCATTGTCTTTATACGAAGTCTCGGCCAAACAGTACTTGCTAGAGTTCCATATTAATGTATATCCATTCAAACAGATGAACGCCTAAAATAATTTTTAGTAATCAATATTTTGACTTTTTAGTAGATAAGTGTGTTCAAAAAATTCCATGACTGTTTGAATTATGCATCAATGGAGAGTCCAAGAACAGTAGGACTGATATCACTAGATCCTGTGACTTCTTTGGAGTACATCTATATTTGTAGATTCTCTATAACTTTCATTGTTACGATGTGACTGATGGTTTCTTAAAATATTTTTTTGCATTTGAAATTTTTGTAATAATTTCAAAAAAAAGCTTTTTTGAGGAAGGAGGGGGGAGGATTTTTCCTTCCATTTTGTTGACAGAATCTTGTTTGGTCTCAAATGCAATGTCTTACACGACTTGCCAATAAATTGTAACTGAACAATTGTAGATGTGCTGAGTGAATGTTTTTTCTCGAGAATTTGAAGAAAGGTTCAAGTCAGGTTTATCATACTAATAATCATTGCATTATTATAAAAATGAAAATAAAAACTTCTTTAACTAACACTTCCCCCCCTCCCCAAAAAAGCTCTTCTTTAGAATTTATAACAAAATCGTCAAATGAAAAAAAAATATTTTAAGAAAACATTGATCACATCAAAACAAAGAAAGTTATAGAGAATCTACAAATACAGGTGTACTCCAAAGAAGTCACAGAACCCAGTGATATCAATCCTACTGCTCCATTGGCGCGCAATTCAAACAGTCCTGGAACTTTTTAAACACACTTAGTATATTATAATAGTATAATTTATTTTTATAACTGGGGTATTCAATTTTAATTTTGAGTAAATACCTAGTAATTTATAATAAAATACTGATTTTTATTGTAAAATAATTTGTTTATAATAATTTTGTAAATAATTACTACAAATTAGTGAAACTAATAAAAGTTATACAAGAGTTAACTTGTAAGCGCCGACATCACATGAGTAAAATATTTGAATAGTTATTTAAAAAAAGATATATATAGTTTTAAATGATTTATTTATTTCTGTAAAAATAGTGTTATAATTTAGTATACCAATATAGTGATACCAGAAATATCAAAATTGATATGTTTTTGAATTCCTTTTTTGGTGTAAGCTTACTTTTGAAGTTATTGTACATAAATCTTGAAAAGTAGCATTTTAAAAATCAATTTGAAATGTGGTCAAAAGAAGACATTTTTATTATTATTACTATTTATAGTTATTGATATTTTGATAACAAAGATTTTTTATTGGGGTCAGAAAAAGTCTATCTAGCTTAGTTCTAGAGTTACAAGCGTTCAAATTCACTGTGTTTCGCTGCGCTAACTCGGACAATTTTAATCAAAAATAACCATTGATTTGTTGTGTAAAACTACATCGAGTATGTAACAGGGAAAAGTGAAAAGTATATAGGTAGAATAAGAAACTCAATGTGGTCACTTTTGATGGTTATTTCAATTAAAATTGTCCAAGTTAGTGCAGCGAAACACAAATTTTGAAAAAAAATCTAAAAACCAATAGGTTGCTAAACTAGAATTATGCCAAAAAAATAAAGTGTTGCACAAGGTAAAAAAATGGTATGTCACAGGAATTGATGTCATTTGTTTCATATTCCACAAAAAAAAATCAAAATTATACATCAATATGATATAATATCATATAGCATATTATACAATATAAGACCTACATTTTTGGTTTCAATGCTTTACTGGTTATAATATGGCGTTATGTCAAAAAAAATATTGTAATTTTTTTTATTGTAAGAAAATAATTCAGACACATTGCATTGACCTAAAGGTCTGAATTTTAAAAATTTGTTTAATGTAATTAACTCATTTTTCAATTTTTTTCACTTACTGTATTTTTGGTTATGAGAATAGGTTATACTATAATTTAAAAAAATTAATGTTTACTTACAGTAGAAATTAACATGTTAAACCATTCTTCAGTTATACTGAAACTGTTTTTATCAATACCATATGCTTTTGCCTTTTCAAATGTTTCTACATTTAGCACATCAGTTAATTTTTCAGGTACTTGTTCTGTTGTTTTATACACACGTCTCTAGAAAGCAAAAAATAAATAATTTAGTTTAAATAATGAAACAATAATAATTAATAGTTATTGCATAGTTTATATTAAAAGGCAGCATTATTTTTCATTAGTATGTGTTTTAAAATTGCTTAAATATGTCACAGTTCAATATATGTATTCTAGCAACTTTTTTTTTTAGCTCACTTATTTTTTGGCCAAAGCATACATCATAACAACTTGATAATCATTATTTTGTTTGTTTGTAAATAAAGTTCTCTCGTTTTCAATTTGTATAGACAGAGTTCCTTTAAAAAGTGTTTGTATATTATGGAGTATTGAGATTAACGGTATAATGGCTTTACATCTACTTTAAACACATTTCATCCAAAAATATGGAAATGTATACATGCATTTAAAAATGAAGAGAATCTGATATGGTTGCAAACAGAACTAATGGCAGGAAATAAAATAAGTGTTTACACACAATTATAAAGACCGCATGTAACAAGACAAAAGTTTGAAATAATACAATGAGTATGATACTTTATACTTTATAGAAATGAAGTAGATTTTTTAAAAGGTATAGACTGTAACTTTTACTTTAACATTAAACAATTGTTTAATAATTATATACATGGTAAATTATTATATTTTTGTATAGGGAGTAATAATATCAAAATTTATATATTTAAATGAAAACCCTGTGTACGTTAGAGACTTCTAGTAGAAATCACAAATCATTCATAACTTGTATAGTAAATATGATAATATTACCTGTCTTAAAGTCAAGTATTGTTCCCATAAGAATTCTATCCAAGAAAACGTTAAGATACCATAATAAACACAAGATTCAGGTATCATGTTTGGAAATTGCTTAGAGTGTAAGTACTAAACAATCAATTAAATTATAATGAAAACTAGTTGATTCTTCAATGTCACTGGATTGCTTAGGCCACAAATATTTGGCGATCGCCGTTGATGAAAAAGCTGAACATACACTGAAGACCGAAAATCAATAATCAATAAGCCGTAGTTCAAAAACACAACAACAACAATCCACAGAGGTATGAAAACATATTTTAACATGCCGCATACATGAACGATAATGAACAGGGCCAGTGTTGCCAGGTTGAATATTCCAAAAAATATTGTAGGAAGTTCGTATTCGTACGGCAGAAAATTTCCGTAGGTACCATAGGAGGGGAACGCTTAAAACAACCGGAAATTAATCATCCGAACCGTATTTAATCGGAAAATTTGTTGAGCTAATGGTATTTTATGTAAAAATATTACAGCCCATAGAATATAGATAAGAAACAGCCGACTGTAATAAAGAAATAAGGTCAGATTTTCCAAAAAATGATAACGCGTTATAAGAAATAAATAAAAAGGAGAAAAGTTCCGTACATATTACTGTAAAATGAAAAACAAGTTAACCAGATGCCCCAAGTAACCCACTTCATACTTCTATGTTTTTTGAATTTTAGATTCTGAGCGAACCTATGTTTCGAGAAAAAATGTTTTGTATTTCTTTTTCCCTTTTACCTAAACAAGGAAAAAACAAATGCATTTTGGGCGTGCTTAGAGACTCAACCTATCGCTCGCTCGGACTCAAAATACCCCTCGATTTACTGTGCAAACTTGTCTACCAAAATTCTTGCTCTGATATATTAAGTGTAACTTATTTTATCTGAAAGGTAATTTTAACTTCATGGTAACTAAGGGAGGTAATTTTTTGATTTTTCCAGTTTTCCCACGAAATGTAGAAAACCAGGAAAAAACATTGAATAAGTGTTAAAAACGCAAGAAAAACGGGAAAATCGGAACAATATTAAACAAATATTATTAAAGAAAATATATAATGCTTATTAAATTATTTTACCATAATATGACATACATATTTTTAATAAAGCATCACTATTAGCTAAACTGCGCTCAGAATCGGTTTTTCGTATGGTTTATCTTTGCTTACAGATAAATATGAAATTACCTATAATTATGGTTGCACCCGATCTTATTATCTTAAGACATCTTTTTAATCAATGAAGTTAATTGGAAAATATATTGGTTTAGTTTTGAAAATATATCCAACATGTGTAATAAGTGGATGTTAATCTACACTTCAATAATTTAAATATTTCCAAATGGTTGAAATTAAGAAAAAAAATTATTTTAAACTTAATTAAATAAGATTTATATTTTTATCATAGAAAATATTCAAAATTACGTTTTATTATTTTTTGTTTATTCAAAATTGAGTCGGAATTATATCTTAAAATTTGTACGTTCTTTCAAATTTTTCAATTTTTATTCAATATATCGACGTTCAAACTTCCAAGTTTTCTAATTGAACAATTTCTGATTAAAAATAATGATAAGAAATGTAAAAGTTGATAATAAGTAGAATTTTGGGCGATTCGGCTAAAATAGGTTCGGTTGAAATGCTGTCGACGAAAATATTTTTCTGATAATTTCATGTTCGGCTTAAATACGTTCGGTCGAAATATTTTCTGCTGTTTTATAGTCCCCTCCCCCCATAGGAGTGGGTTAATTACATAGATAATAGATAAATGCATAGATATATTATTATCTGTAGTTACTTGGGACATATTCTGTTTCATTTGTTGGGGCACAAATGTCGTTTTGGCTTATAGCCGCTATAGCTTCTTTTGTTATCACAATACGATAATATTTGAGACTGCTGGTAATTAATCAATACTTGGTGAGTCTCTTGATTATCAATTATATTAAATTCTTTGGAAGTTCAAGGAAAGTTTATTATATATTATTATATACAAATTAGGACTTTACAAACAGCTTAAACAGCACCAAATCTGTCAAGTAAAAATTGACTTGACATAAATATTGTTAAAAAATATTTTTTCGTCAGCAGAAGAGAGAAAAAAAAATAAATCATTGTACATCAAATATGTTCAATGTTATCAAATTTTTTTCCATTCGTGCATAATTTTGGACACTATCTTTATAATTTCTTAGATTTTGTATTCTATATACTTAATTACTTATTTACCTAGTTAAAAGTATGTACCTAACTTAAAGGCTGACAATGGTTAAATTATTTTCTTAAATATTTATTGATATTGTTAATAAACTATAAGCTGATGTTTATTTAAAAATTTAAATTAAATATGTTTGTAGTAAAGTAAATCCTTATAATGATTGAAAGAAGTTATTGTTTTATTAAATGTTTCAATAAAAAAAAAATAATTTTACAACTAATTCAATATTATTTAAAGTTTTAAAAAAACCTAATGTGATTAATTGTTTTATTACTGAAATCATCTAAAAAACATTTATAAAACATTATTTCTATTGTTACCTACTTGTAAATCTAAAAGTATATGCTTACATAATTATGACTAATATACTATTTTAATGATACGCTTCTAAGTAAAATATTGTAAAAAAACATTTTTCTCTAGGTGTTTTTCTCAAAGATAACCTCATAAGGCTTAAAACGAATTTTTTTGCAAATGAAATAGTTGCCCCAACATACAGCCTTTTCATGGTTATTTGGAACAGGCACCAAAAAAATAAATATATAATATCATAAATTAAGTACAAAAGTTTATACTTCTAATTAACTCTAATATCTACATTACTAGAAATCTAGACTATTTATATTTTAATATGAATATTAAAAACATACAATGGTTATTTACTGAGATATAAAACGTCAAAGTAAAAAATTTCCCCAAGTAAGCTACTTCTACGGTACACGAAAAAAATTGTTGATCACTACTGGCCAATCACAAATACAATTACACAAATAAATAATCTCGTATTTTATATACATAATATTCCACTTTTTCAATGTCAGCAACGATTTTCTTCTTGGGTCTCAATTTTTGATTTTGAGTGGAACGAAGAACCATATGGTTTTACAAAGATGTTAATTTTTTTTTCTATGGACTACTTTTCTATCAGAAATCTTGCTCCAATTTTTTAGTGCAGCGTCATATTTTTCGATTTTCTAAGAGTTTTCTTATCAAATGTGAAAAACGGGAAAATCGGTACATTAAACAAATATTATTAGAGAAAATATATAATGCCTATTTAATTATTTTACCATAATACGATAATCTACTATCAACTATCACTATCAACTAAACTCCGCTCAGAGTCGGTTTGGTTATGTTTAAATCATTTTAACATTATTTTTATTGACATTAAATATTTTAATCTTTTGAAAAAATGTTAGATATCTAAATCATATTATATAATAAATACAATTTCCATTCGAAGGAAAACAAATGATTTTAAATCTTTTTCAATAAATTTATTGTACTTAGGTTTCATAAACATTATTAGACTTACCAAAACCGCATAAAAAAATTAATTAAAATATAATTTATAATTTTAACAATTTAGTTTTAAATTATTTGTAGAATATTTTTTATTTATTATTTATATTTAAAGTGATTTACACCACCTCATCATCTATTTTTTATGACTTACACGTAAGTGGTAATTTATTTTTCTATAATTTTACCGAACACCAGCACATCCAGTGTTGGCAGTATTGACATTTCAGACAATTTTTTTTTGGGGGGGAGGGCATTACTAAAAATTATAGTTATGACTTTATTTTTTGTTTATCTACTCTCTCATTCGAAGTGTCGAAATTGTTTTATAATTAGTGATTAATTCATTTGTCCACATTTAATAGAGAGGCGATAGCCCCCTCCCCGTCATATACCTGGATTCAACACTGCACATCGCCACAAACGTTTCGATGGCACTTCATATTAAAAGTATCCCTCATTCTGATTTTTGGATCAAGTATATCTCGACAGGATTTACCTAGTTATAGGCGAGTGGTTTTAACGCCAAGAAAATCTGCCTTCGTACCCCGCATAAGTCCTCTCCATAGTTCGATACCGTTAAGTCTTTTCTAAGACCTGGAATTCGTGCGATCACTACAAATTTTGGAAACGGTCCTTACATCACCGTTAAACTACCCTCATAACATTTAGTGTAAATCGGAATGGATCGAAAAAAGTAATTTTGTTTCAAAGTAATTAGTGGATTACAAATATTTAATAAAGTTAACCTTCCTCGTAGAGACCGTTTTCGAATATATTTTACGGTGTCAAACTATGGAGGGTGTGTGATATACGAAGCCAAATTTTGTATTATACATTTTGGACGATAACAACAAAATTATAATGATGGTGCTCTTATTATGATTTAATATAGTATTATCTTAAATCGTAGCTCTAATCGACTGCGAATCATGATTAAAGACATATATATAAATGCTGCGAAGTGTGAACAGACAAACAGGGCAACCATTATATTATAGTTTAATTCATGATCGTTCATGGTGTTCGTACGCCCATCAAAAAGTTCGTTCGCTTGGTAAACCTGACAACAATGAGTACACGACAACAATTAATTATTAAATTAATAACAGTACGACCAAGACGAAAATTAATACTGTACAGTATAAATACAGTTTAATAATAATATGCAGTAGCAATAACGATTTATAAACATTTTACATCCCAACTACGACCACATTGTCAAATCATATTCTTTACAATTGTGCCTTCTTATCTATAGCTCGCCGGAAGAAGAAAATAATGTTTGTTCATTTGTCTAGACTGTACGACCGATGACGTCAGTATATGCGGTTATAATCAGCCGCCTCCCTATATTGGCCGACAGTATAAAAGGAGTCCGTGCACATGGCAATACTTGGGTTTTGACACTGAAAACTCCACGAGTAATCTTTTGTACTCGGTTAACAATCTGTCATCCCGCATTTCAGTTACAGATCCTACGTCATTGAGTTATCCTACCGGAGAAGTTACGCCAAGTTTTTCATTCAATTCTCTGCACAACATAATTCGAGGCCATGTCTCTGTCCCAAACTACTGTGGTGAGTATCTGTCGGCGAACAATTATTATAAAACCGTTTAACATCGGGTCGACAACAACATGTACATTTTAAATTCAATCGTTTCCAGGAATACTATAAAAGTATGCTACATAGATACCTCGTTTCAAACAATTTTCTTTTTCCAACTGGTTTCGTTTTTTGGAACTTCCGTCTGAAGGTTATTTTCTAGGTCAATAGAATTATTAAAATGAATCATTGTTAACGTAAACCGAACCAAAATCTTTTGATTAGGTAGTCTGCTGCCTGCCCATGCCTTGCATTATTATTGAGTTAAGTTTATTTGTTAATCGAATAACGTCTACCTACTTTTGGTTAGTTGAGATACAATGTTGAGAGTACCTGCTTCATTATTATGATAAATTATCGACGTGAATATCCTACAATTTCAGTAATAAAAACTACTAATTATTATCATTTATTTGTACATGATCATTGTGAATATCACATTCAGAATTACAGATAATAGAGCAATAGGTTTTATTGAGAACTAGATAAACAAAACACCTAACTAGGTACATACAATAAAAACAATAATATTTAAAATTCTTGCTAATCTTAAATCAAACTTCAGAAATTAAGTAAATTTAAAATGATAAAGGAAGTGTTTGTATATTTGTGATGTACGGCCAAATCTGAAATATTTCGAAATCTTTAATTTTAGATTCCGAGTGTAGCGAAGAATGTATTGGTTTTATAAAGATGTTTAATTTTTTTTCTTCTTTTATTTTACTGTGTACAAAAGTTTCTTTCAGAAATCTTGCTTTGATGTACACTATGTAGACTTTTATGTGAAATACAATTTTTTTGGAGAGGTACTTTAGGGAGGTTATTTTTTGATTTTTTTGGAGTTTTCTCATCAAATTTGAAAAATGAAAACAGAGGAGGAAAAACGGGAAAAATGTACGAAATATATTAGTAAAATATCACGATTTTTATTTTCTATGGACAATTTCTACCAGCGATTTTACTCCGATTTACAATGATAGCACTTTTTCTAAAAGAAAATCGACTGAGGAGGTACTTTATAAAGAGGTCTTTTTTTGATTTTCCCAATAGTAGTGAATAGTGAAAAACAAGAAAAAACATGGGAAAACCTAGAAAACCAGGAATAACAAAAAAAAAACAGTACAATATTAATCAAATATTCAAATAAAACACATAATGTATATTTAATTATTTTACCATAATACGATATATATATTGTTGACAATGCATCAATATCAATAGAACTGCGCTCAGAATCATTTTTTCATTAGCAATGGTTTATCATTGCCTACAGCTATACATTAAATTCTCGTCTGTATCTTACCTTCCCAACTTCTCACATACAATTGTGGTTGCATTATCCTAAGACAGCTTTTTGATTTTGGCATGCATATTGATGAATAGTTTTTTTTTGGTCTATTATAAGTTATGTAGGTCTTTAGGCACAGTTACCGCATCTTCTTATCATTCTTTGTTTTTTGCCATCTATTCTAGATTCTCTATTTCTAGTTGTTTCGATGGATTTTTTTATCTGGTATCCGCAGAGATATTTTATTTATCATTTTGTCTTATGTGTACCGAACATATTCTGCCCATACAATCCTTTTGTTTTACATTATCTTTAATAATTTGTATAAATTTTAAACTTAGACTTAGAAGTGTGAAAGTTTATTATTATGCAATTAGGTACTTAGTTTCATTATTATTCTATTACTTAGTTCTATTTACATTATTATTACTTTGTCCAGTTGATTGTGTCTCTATAGATAATCATGATTTAAGTTTTATAGTTAAAAAAAAAAAATAACAAATCAATTATAAAAATAAAATTGTTCTAGTGTAGTAATGAAATACAGTTATTAATATTATATAGGTGAACAGAATTTTGATGTTATAACAATTTTCTTCTGTAAATATTCAAAATAGAGAAAAATGTTTAATACTAAAGTTTCTTTATTTGTAAACATTTATAATAATTTGTAAATTTTTTTTATTTTTCTGAATTTTTTGGGGAGTTTTTGGTGTTAACTTTTGAAATTCAAATGGGAACCTATATAAAAAAATCCATAAATAAATGTATTAATATTTTAAATAAATTTTGGTATTGAAATTTTTGATTTCCATCAACCCGTTGATGAGATATTCAACTTTTTAATTTGGGCAAAGGGAAAGTGGTTGCTTGTGTAGTAGCATAGCATGACGCGTGGCGTTTGAATAGTGTTCCACTACTCTCCCCATGCCTAAACTAAAAAGTTAAATATCTTGTTAATTGGTTGACGGAAATAAAAAATGTCAACACCAAAATTTATTTATAATGTTACTTCATTTATATAGGGACTTTTTAATATAGATTCCCATTTGGATTTAAAAAGTTAACATCCAAAACCCTACCAAAAAATTCAGTAAAATAAAAAAAAATTACAAATTATTTTGGGCATTTATAAATAAAGAAGCTTTTGTATTAAATATTTTTCTCTATTTTGAATATTTACAGGAAAAAATTACTGTATTATCAAATACTGATCACTCTGTTTACTCTGATTGCCACGAGCAATGCTATGCAGGATTGTGCTGGTAGGTATATATATATTTATAAAAAAAATAAATTTGTACTTTCATAAAAATATTAATGTATTACAATTTATTAAAAACATTGATTCACTGTATAGATATTTTACATTTAAGAATCTATTCTTATTCATTAGTTATTCAGTCTATTTTTAAATAGGTTAACATTTATTCTGATATATTTGATTATTTTAGAATATTCAAATAGATTATTGATTTTTGTTACCTACATTTATGTATACTACATACATTTATTCCCTTATCTACTTAATATTTTAATTTCATTTCTAAGGTAATGTCTATTTATACATCTTGTATTTAACAATGTATAATGTATCTTATCTAATGAAGCTTAAAATGCAAATTTAATATTTTTCTAACATACAAAAATTAAGGGAAATAATATTTAAAGGTATTGTTATAACGATTCATTATTGTACAATTAACTACTGAATAGATATTAGCAATATAATCATGATATATTAATGTGTAGGTAATGTTGTGATAGTATTATTTTTTGCGTGAATGTAGTTTTCTACATATTTGTTCACGTAAAAGTAGTTATTATAAATGCCAACTAGGCACTAGTGTACAAGTAAAAACCTGCCAATGGGTCTAAATGTATATATATATATAAATACATTGTTTTTTTTTTCTGTAAGTGAAATGATATTTTTTGTTATATAGACTGTTGCTTTTATAATTTAAAAATTTAAAATTATAGGTATCCTTGTTTATGAATTGGCATAATTAGTGTACAAATTCACAGTACTTAATATGTTCCCCGTATTAATACTCAACTATGAAAAAAAAAAAAAACTCAAATTTTAGAATACAATTTATTTTCTCTATTGTGTAACTAATAAGTAGGTAGGTTTCTACCTAACTTTAGAATATTTTTTAGTTACATAATATTTGTATATTTATTATGTATAGCAATATAGCAATAGCTATTATATTGAAGTACCTAAGTACCTATGTCAATCAATAGTATTCTGAGTATTATAATATAGGAAGATACTTAAAAATTTTCAAAAATAACTTGTTATTCTGATATAGTTACATGTTTGTATTAATAAAACATTTTAAACAATTATTTCAGATGAAATTATACCAAACAGTTATTGAAGATACTATAAATAGCTCTCGAGAATTTTTTGCAGAAGAAGGTATTGATGATCAAATTTTGTTGGAGTTACGCCAATCATGGGAATCTAAAGTGATGGCCAGTAAAGCAGTTGATGCTCCACCCCCTCAAGAACTTACTCAACTTCCAAAAACTGTTCCGGTTACTAACGTTAAGCAAAAAAACCAATATACTCCTTCAATAGTTAGTAAGTGTTCCATCATACCATACAGAAATAAGTTATTAACAGAGAGTAATAAGTAACTATATTAGGAGGTATTCAAATAATTGCATTACATTTCTAGTTAAAATTATATAAAATAACTAGTATTTCAAAAGGCAATCAGTTTCATAAAAATCTAGTTGGTATTTTATACATTGGTTTGAACTATTAAAATTGTTGTAATTTTAATGTTTTGGAAAAATCCTGATACTTTATTTATTTTATAGAAATTAAAACTACTATAATTAACAAACTATTAATCGGATATGAATGTATGATACATTATAATTTTTAGAATAATATTTTTTACAATATTTTTTGAAAATTTTATAAATTGAATAAATAAAGTTATTTTTTTTTGTATTTAAAAAATTAAAATAAAAAATTAATTTTTCTCCAAATCGATATCCTCCTCGAAGATAAACCGATTGAAAAAAAATTAATATTAATAGCGCTAGAAAACTGTCGAACATGGTGAGACACACTGTATAATATATTATAGGTCATTTTTTTGAATGTGTCTATAAAATATTGTTAAAAATCTTATAGTATTGTTATTACAATTAGTTCAAATTATGAAGATGATTAGTATGTAAGAGAACATTTTAATATACCAGTTAAGATTTTTGTAAAATATGTTATTATCATTTATTATCATTTATCTGAAAAGTTGGTAGGAAATCCAAACTTATCTATAAAATATAGAATATTGAAATTTGCTAAAATATTTTACGATGTAAGGTTTTTTTTTTTTATGAAAATTTAAATGTATTAATTTAATACATAATTACAAACTATTTTGCATATATTCATTAAAAACTAATTTTGGTCAACTTCAACAAATTCATTTGTACATTTTTAAAAATTTATATTTAATACATTTAAAAATGTACATTTTTCAATACAAATAATTTAGTAATTATTATTAATATTAGGGTACATTTTAGACTGTATATAAAGTAAAAATATTTAATTCAAATCAGTTTATTATTGTTTTATTATGTAAGATATACTGTTTGAAAAATATATTATTTATGTTCTCATCTTTAAAACTATTTTGATGAAAATTGATGAAGATATTTTTTAAACTTGTTTCCCAAAGGTAAATTTTTATTTGTAATTTACTAATAATTCATTATTTGAAGTCCTTCAATGAAAATATAGTGTGCATAATAATATAATAAATACTTTGATTAAACAAGTCATATAATATAACTAATAATTGACTAGGTAATATTAGATAAATCAAATAAAATATATATCACAACTTAATTATGAAAACAACCCACTATGTGGGTTGCCAATAGACACAATATAAAACACAGTTGGTGATAAAAAATACTAATATAACTAGTTTTGCAGTGAAATGAAGTATCCATTTGGTAGAATATTTTGAGAAAAAATAAAAACTAATAATACGTTTGTGGATACATTTTACTATAAAATGTTGAAAACAAATATTATATAAAATAGTCTTTCAAAAAATTTATCATATTTACCCAAAGTTTTAATGAATAATTAACTAATTTAATTTAGACTAGAATCCAAAATGTGTCTTTGCTGGTGGTAAAGAACTTGAGAACTAATCATCCATATACTAGGTTTCTTCATGAGGACAAATTTACTAAGATCCATATTTTGTAATAACTAGTGGTATACCTATGATTCATTATTATTATTTATTGTTGATAGATAGTACTGCTCATCAATTAAAAATGGTTCAACAACAAAAGGTACAGCAGCAGCAACAACAACAGCCACAGCTACAACAACAGCAACAACAGCAGCAACCACAACAACAACAACAACAACAACAACAACAACAGCAACCACAACAACAGCAACCACAACAACAGAACTCTATAGTTCTACCAGCAGATTTTGTAAACAAATTTGTACCAATTCAAATTACTTTACCTGCTCAAGCTGGTTCTCAAGAAACTGGCCCTAGAGTTCTATCTATCCAAGTTCCGAGTGCTGCCATACAAGGTATTATATTTATTGAATTTTGAATGTGTAAGAAAGTATATTAATTTTTGTAGATACATACTAACTTTTTAATTATACAATTTTTTTTATAGGAAATATGCTTCAGACTATACTTAGCGGTCCAGTAATAACTAATAGTATGGCATTGCCTACTCACCTAGCTACATCACTTTTACAACAGCATGTCAACAGTGTTCTTGCTGCACAATCAATTTCTGGTATGATTTTCAAATTATAAATTATTTGTTAAAATTATTATACCTATTCTTCTTCACCCTTCATTCCCACCTATTTGGGGTCAGCCACCTTTGTCCTAAACTTTCAAGTCTTGATCTTATTTTCCACCTCGCATACACTGTTCGTCAATTATTTTCAATCTTATCCAACCACTTCTTTTTTAATATTCCTCACCCTCTTTTTCATCTATGTTTATTTTCAGTACAATTTTTACTGCTTCAGATTTTTCTCTCCTTATGATATCCATCTAGTTTATTTTCTCCGAGCCACATACATCTAAGCTACCTCTTATGTATTTATTCCTTTTCTTATATTTTCTTGTCACTCCGATCATCCTTATAATTATTATTTTAATTATCATTTTTACTAGGTCCAAATATTCAACAACAGCAGCAGCAGCAACTTCAACAAAATAATCCAGCATTTGCTAGTGGAAATGGAACCAGCGGTGTTAAAAGAACTATTACTCAAATAGATGGAGCTAATGATTCTTCAACATCAGATGACGACGATGACGATGATGATAATATTGATGATGACCTTGGTGATAATGATGATGATGATGAAGATGATGATAAAGAACAAAATAGTGCTTCTGACGCTGTAAGCATTAATTGTTTAAACACTTTAAATTAACATATTTAAAATGCTATACACATAAACAGTTATCAATAGAATAACACAAATAAATTTTTAATTGTTGAGAACTATTTTAAATTTACATAGTATGTACATTAGGTCATCAAAATTGTATGATTATTATTACAATTTTGTTTAAATTTATTATAAATGTTACCATTGATTATAAATCAATATTTAAATATTGATAATAATGATTTCACTTTGTATGTATGTTACAGTTAAGTGTTGAATAACATTATTTTATGAAATAACTAGGTAGTTTATAAATCATTTACAAATTCCAGTTTAAATACTGCTGTTTAAAAATTAACAATTAAGTTGGCAAGAATGACATACCTATAATAGTTTCATAGAATCTCTAGTCATTGCATACAATTTCCGTTTAAGTGTAGAATACTTTTAAACATAAAATGGAAACATCTGAATTAATACTTGATATATTTTTAGGCAGTACAACATTAGGAAAAATATTGTTAGTTAATTGTGCATGAAAAGTTACTGTGAATTTTAGAAGTAATGTTTTTTTTTTCTACAGACACCTTTTTATTAAAGATTTGATTTTACTTGTAAAAAAAAAAAAAAAAAGCATTAATAATATTAACAATAGTAAAACTAATATGAGAAAAAATTACTACTAAAAGACTATTAAACTTAAATGCATAAAGTTTTTACATACTTTATACATTTAGGTATGTTATTAATAAGCTTTAAATTTCAATACATAGTCATTTTTTTTTTTTTTTTTGATAGTCTGGGTGGATTTAATCCAAGACAAATCCAAGTACATAATTTGTTTTATGTAACAGACTTCAAAAGTAAACCTTTTGTTTTAAATTTTTTGATGTATTGATATTTTTGGTCATTTTTATGGGTATTATTTTGCTAAATGACATTTTATTAGAGCATTTTAGGACATTATTTAGAGTGTTTTTCAATAGTTTTTGAAGTACATTTTAATATGGCTTCTGGTTGTGAGATACAATAATCTTATTAAACTATTAAAAGTACATAAGCAATGTTATATATTAAGTGTCACTGACAAACTATGCCAACTTTATCTAATCTCTTATTGTATTAGATGGCAAAATTACATTATTGTACAATAATTCAAGTATTTACTGCATTAACAGTGTGTACAATATGAATGTAAAAAAATATTTAATTAAAGCATACATTCTTTAAATTACTTATATGTTTTGGTTATTCTATAAATTACCTAATTATTTTGTAAACTAACTCATTCAATACTTTAATTTTAACTTAAACATTTTTAAATTAAATCTAATATTATGGACTACATATACTAATATTCACGGTTCATGACTTGAAGCATTTAAAATTAATAAAAAAAGTTCTTAAATATCCTTGTTATAAGTTCTTAAAAAGCTTAATAAGCTTTTTAAATGGCTGAATAAATAATGAAATTTAAATAAGCACTTAAAAAAATATTTACATTTTTTTAACTACTGAAAGAAAAATTGCAGAAATTTGACATTAGAACCCTTTAGTCATTTTAAAACTACACTCTTGGGTTTACCTTGCCTCATACCCTGCGGCAACTGACACTACAAAGATAAGATAGTAAAACACTAAGTAATAAAAAAAAACCACTCAAATTTTATATTTGAGCTTGTAATATATCAATTTTTTTAGCACTGCTAGATTTAATGTTGAGTCATAAGTAAATGCTGTAAGTTCTGAACTCTGTTAATATTTAATACAATATTATTAATTTTATCACCTTCTGTGGTAAATGGGCTTTTCACAATATTAGGCACTATACAGAGTGATTTTTTTTTTTTATCTTGAACCAACAATTATTTTGGAAGATTTTATGTAAATTTGATTTGTTTTTTTTTAATTATAGTTTAAGCTTAATTTTAAAAAGGTTTTTAATTTTTTACTCCTACTTCATATACCTTATTTAAATATGTACTTTTCTTTTTGAATGCAGATTCAAATAGAGAATATTTTTCTAGAAATTTCGGAATGTATAACAGTAATATCATATTTTTGGTTTATGAGTTAAAACCATTTAAAGTTAAATCAATTTCACAACGATTGAAAATAACAGAAATCATATTCACTTTAAATCTTCCAAAAAAATCAATGGTTCATGATAAACAAATCATTCTGTGTAATTTTAGTATGTATATTGATTAAAATAAGTGGTTGAAATATTAAAAATTAATGTCCATGCTTACTGTACTTTTTTTTTGTTATTTTATTTATTTTTTATCAAAGAAATGTAAAACAATAGGAAATTATAACTATTGAGAAGTTATCTTATTGTTTACAATGATAGTTCACTAGTGTCTCAAGATTAGTAGAGTATTAATGTATTGTCAAAGTCTTGTTTGATAATTGGACTATTTGTAATAAAATATAATGTGTGCAGGTTTGTTTTATATTATTTGTCAAGTATTATTCTAGTAATGGACAATGCTTAAGTTCAGTAATAAAGTGATTATAATCATTGATTAATAACATAGAACATTAATTTACTCTTTATTAACTGAATATTTTATTTTTAGGAGCCATTAAATTCAGGAGATGATGTGAGTGATGTTGATAATGGTGACCTATTTGAAACTGATAATGTTATTGTATGTCAGTATGATAAGGTAAATAATAAATTAATTTATTAAAGATCTATTCAATTAATAATTTGTTTGTATTTATATATATTTACATAGATAACCCGTAGTAGAAATAAGTGGAAGCTTTATTTTAAAGATGGTATTATGAGTTTGAATGGTTATGATTATGTCTTCCAAAAAGCAACTGGTGATGCCGAGTGGTGAGAAGGGTCTTAAATACTGTAGTTACAAATAACTTATATTAATAATTGTTCATTGAAATAGTTCAATGAACAATTATTAATATATTATTATTAAATATAGATTTAATTAATTGTATTAAATGAATTGTTCTCAAGCTTTTTATAAACACACTATTTAATTTATAAGTAAAACTACTCAAATAATTCTTTGTAAATATTATTCACTTTTAAACGTGTGGAGTTAATAATAAAGTTAATAATAATAAATATTACATTGAAATAAAGGCCTCTGTTGATATAATTTGTTTTATGCTATACAAACATATTTATGTTTTTAATGTATTGATATTTGCCTATATATAACAATATTTTATTAATGCAGTTGGTGCAAATATTTTAATTTGAATTATTTTTTTTGCTAGAGAAGAATGTTTTTTTTTTTAATTATTCAAATTACATTATAACAATCAATAATTATATAACTTATAAATGTGTGTTTGACTAATATGAATACCCATAGCAATAAAAGACTGTTTTTTGAATAAAATATATAATATACCTTTTGTTCCATGCTTATTGTAGGATTAACAATAACTGTTTAAATTATGACATTTTGTTTAATTATTTAGTATCTGAAACCATGTAATGCAAAAATTAATTTAAAATTAGATTTATCATTTATTTTTTTGTAAGAGAAAATTAAACAATACAAATATAATAGAAATTTGTTGTTTAATTTAATTGTAAGTGTATATTAGATAATAAGTTAAAATATTATTTTTCTCTATTTTTCTTTCCTACTACTGAAAGTTATTATTGTGATTATTAATATATTATCATCTATTATTAATACAATTAAAAACCCCTTAGTATTTTTATTATGGACATAAATAAGGATAAGAGTTAGTTTTTTTTATTATTTTCAAAAAGATTGACTTTTTTTTCAATAGTATACTTGTTTTAATTTAAATTTTGTATAGTCACTTCAATATTATGATGGTTGCTTTATAATATTTTAACAAATAAAGTAAAATAATTTTTTAAATTTAATTAGGTACAAAAAAATTACCATTGTATCTTAAAAAATCAAATTGGCAGTAAAGGATTTAAAATGTATAAATATCAGATAATAGGTATGCAGTGGACGCCGTTTATAAGATTTACTTTTTGGGACCAGCACAAAGTTAGTATTATAACCAAATGAACATTTTAGGCGAAGTAAAGAGTGGATAGAATATATTTGACATGTCTGAACTGTTCCAAGGGATTTTGAGTCTAATAAACGACTGAATCTTATGAGTTTTGTAAGCGGTGTCTACTATATTTTTAATTAAATGAATATGTTTTTTTATGTTATATTTCACATGCCGTTTGGTATTTCAGTCCAACATTGAAAATTAATTAATTATAGTTTTGAAATTATTTTCTATTTACCTATTATCATAATTTAAAATATTATGTTTATATTTTGAGTGATTTATAAGTTATTAATAATTACTGTAATTATTTGTCCCCTTTTTTTTTATGTTAATTCATGATCAATAAAGCATATTCTTATTTATCTTGATGAGTATGTCATAATACGAACTGTTACGGATAAGGCATCAGACGGAAAGGGGTAATCCGAAAGCCTAATTTCTATATTCATATTGAAATTTTCAATATTTGAATAGTACTATCTTTAATTCTAAAATTACTTCGTCTAAGGTTAGGTTTGGCGAACAGCAAACTTTGAAAATTTGTTTGAAAAATGGTTCAGGTAATTAAATATTTGATCAAATTATCCATAGTTAAAACTGTAGTGATTGGTCAAATATAAGTTATAACTCTCATAAATTTAAGTTGTACAATTCTTATAGGTAGTAGGTACTAATCCATGGACATATAAAATCATTTATGTGTCTATTTACTAGTCACAATGATAAATATATTATTTACTTTATTATTCACATTAAAATTAAGTATTAAGTCAGTTTTTTTTTCTTAAAAATATTTTTATTTTATTATTTTTTAAATCAAAATTAAATAATATTTATTAGTTTATTTTTCGTCATAAAAATAAAAAATGTTTGAATATTTAAATAGTACAAAATCGTTATTAGTTTATTACAGGGGAGGTGCTATTTTATTTTTATTTTAACGAGAAACATTTGATAACCGATGCTACAATGCATCTTGTTATATCATTTTGAATATGTTTCGCCCAAAACGTATGACGTTTGGATTTTTAATATTTTTATGGTAGCAAAAACGGAAATCTGAGAATATTCTGTCGCGTGTAGGTCCTCAATTTATTAAGCCCGTCCGTAAAATCTTCGAGTTTTAAAGTAGGTAAGTAAACCTAAATGTGTTTGGGATAACTGATAATACTACGCATTTACAACATGTGTTTTTTCAATTTTTCACACAATACAAAATAACTATACATACATACATGCATAAGTACCAGTACAAATGACTAATATTATTATTGTTATTTTTTTTTTCAATCGGATTTTCTTTTATTTACACAAAATTTAAATTTGTATTATCATTCCATAATCAATAAAAAAAAAAGTAACTTTAATTGTCCACTTTTTAAAATATTCCTAAAAGCCAATTTTTAAATGCCGTATTAATTGATAAGTTTAAACTGTTAACAAAAGAAAATTCATAGTTCATAACTAATTGTGTTCCGTATAACAACAGTATTTGAGGTCTTGAGCATAATATGGGTATTTATGTGTAAGTCAATTACAGATTTAAAAACCATATTTAAAAATGGTTTGGGAGCACTGAAAAGTTGTCACAAAGATATTATCCTCCATGTACATTTTCTGATGAAAATATTATGTACATTGCCCGTTTCAAAAGCTGAACCAGAAAGACATTCAAGCTTGTAAATAATCAAAACGTATTTGAGAAATTTTATGAAAGAGTTAATTTCTTTTTTTTATAGATATTTTATTATAAATTAATATTTTGAATTTATATTTAGACGAGGTTAAACGGTTTAGTAGAGATGTCTATACATCGGCGGCATATCTAAATAAAAACTGACGAAGTGTCAAAGCTTTCGTTGAATCCATAGAAAATTATACCTTGGGTGAAAGAATTAACGAAAAAAAACTACGAAATAAATTAAAAATGACTTTATTTTTCACCAACTAGATGAAAATTCAACATAAAAAGAAACTTGTAGGTTTTCTATTGGAAGAACATTTCTGGTAGAAAACGTTAAGCGTACAAATTTAAAATAATGATATCGTCACACTGTTAATTAGTCTTTTATCATTTTTTTTCCCAGATTTTCTCACTTATTATTTAATTAAACGTAATACAGAAGTTTTTTTATAAGCGTTTTAGATCATATTTTGACAAAAATCGTAAATATTTCAGCAATTCAAAACGTACCTATTAGTTCCTATTCTGAAAACACATGCAATACAAAAATTAAGATAACTCAATAAATATGTGAAAAAATCACAAACGTATTTGATTGAAAAAAATGTAATTGTATTTAAACTTTTTTAATAGTATAAAACAAAAATGATAAAAGTTAAATGTTATTTATCAATGTGAAAAATAATAATTTCCATGTAGCAATAGAAAATAGAAATGTGTTGGGGTGGACAGACTTGTTCAATTCTTTTTCACCGAAGAAGTCTTGCAAAAATGTCTGTACTTTGGGTATATGAATGGGATCCTCCAATACAATGTTGTTAATGGCAGATTTCTCGAATTTGATATACTTGCCCGGGTAGAAAATGACAGAATACGCTTCACTGTCCTCAAACGTCTCAACGCTCTCTTGCTGATAGTCAATTCCCTCTTGTTCTAGCGTTTGAATTATTGAACATAGTGATTTACTATCCTATTGTCAAAATCTTCACCTCCCAAACGATTTTATATTTATATTATTTTTTGTCACCCTTAATTTTTGGGGGTAAAATCACTACCTACTTTTGATATTCAAATGACAACCCATATTAAAAATTCCCTGAATTGATGGAGTATTAGCTAAAATAAATTTTAGTGTTGACATTTTTGATTTCCGTCGACCCGTTGACAAGATATTCCATATTTGTTTGTTGTAAGTTTGGTTTGGAGTAGAGTAGTGGAGTATCATTTGTGTAGCAGCACCGGTACGGCTCACGGCTTGTTAATAATGTATTACTACTCTTCTTCAACCTGGAGATTATTTTTCGATTTTTCCAAGAGTTTTCCCAGCAAATGTAAACAACCGGGGGAAAAACACGGGAAAACTGGGAAAAACGGGAAAATCGGTACAATATAAACAAATATTATTAAAGAAAATATATAATGTCTATTTAATTAGAATACCATATTATGACATATATATCGTTGACAAAGTATCACTATTAACTGAACTCCGCTTAGAATCGTTTTTTTTTTTATTAACAATGGTTTATCTTTGATTACAGATATATGATAAATTACTTAGAACAGTGGCCTCAGCCATACCAATTATCCCAGGACAGTTTTTTAACATCATAAATAGTTTAATATGATTCTATTTTTTTTTTTAGGGGGGGTATTTATAGCATAACTAAAAATCTTCATTTTCAAATAAAAATTACAGCATGTCATAGTGTTACGACTAAGGGTATGAAAAGAAAAACGACCTAGGATCTCAGGACAGTCAATATTTCCGGCCAAAAGTTTATACGAAAATTATATGTCAAAACACAAACGACGTTGCTCAAGAGTTTCTAGGTTTAGAATTGATTAATGCGGGGAGTACGAGGAATGAGGTAATAGAGCATTTAAATGACAAAATTCAAAGCAACTTCTACCGGATTTTTTCAAGTTTGAATTTGAGACCAGATTGATACGGAGCCATATTCACAAATTGATCGTACCTAACAACATAATACAGATTTGAATGAAAGTTTATCATAAAAATCAGAATGATAAATGAAACCTAAGATTTTGTTTCATCTGTTAACAGTATTGTAATGTGATAGTCAAATTTAAGCTTTGAATCAAATAAAATACCAAGGTCTTTCATAGGTCCCAGAGTCCGAGGAAGTAAACCATCGTTGAAATTATAATTAAATTTGTGGAATAACTCGAGCTCTAGAAAAATGTATTACTTGGGATTCATTAATATTTATCAGTATTATTATTATTTTATTTTTCAAGCATAATGTATATACAGAGTATGACAAATGCGGAATAAAACTTTTATAACAAATGATTAGAACATCGACATTACGAGAAATATAAATAGCAATGTTTTGCAATACCTGTCTTTTAGTTTTAAAATCTGTAGTAATATTCTATTTTGAACAAATTAGTTTTGCTGTATTTAAAATATCATACAATTTATTGATAAGGTTTAATATTGACTGATAAGTTTGCTCCAGAAAAGTACAAGTACTTAGAATGTTCATATTTTGAGATTGTAACATTTTTGATACACATTGAATAGACCTTAAAATATTTTCTCAAAAACACATATCATAAGAACAAATTCAAACGATTCCATTGAATTTTTTAAGGATTTACTTACAAGTTTTTCGTCTGACTTATGACTTGTTAACAAAATCATTAAAAGTGATTTTAAAACATTTACAAATCTTTTTTTAAGAGGAAATAACGATTTATGTCTATCTTTCCAATGCGTTAGACAAAGTATTTTGAGTGTTTTTTTTATGAATATTATTAGTTTCATTTCTAAAAGTTAAAAGTATCCAACGAGGTGCACGTGAATATTTGTCCAGTTTTTCTGCTCAAATTTTCTTCAGTTTCCAAATTATTGAATTATTGAAATTATGAAAACCAGTTGGAAAATCAAAAAAATGACCTCTTTAAATGTACCAACAAGTTTCAAAATGAGACAAAAAAGGTCTCTCGTTAATTTTTCAATTGGAGTACGTTTTCTGGTAGAAAAAGTGTTTACACAAAAAAAAAAAATCATAAATAAAAAATAGACTTTATTAGTTAAACCAATAGATCCTTTACTACGCTCGTAATCTAAAAGTAATCATTGTACCTATGCCTCTTTCATATTAATTTATAATGCTTAATAGTTTAATACATATTTTTTCGTTTTTCTACAAAAAATCACTTATTTTGGGCAGCTTGGAAATATGTTCGAAACAAATGCACTTTACCACGCCCCTCACGAATTTCAATTTTTTTTTTCTCAAAAGACGTGTTTTTCAACGCTGATTTCATAACTGTTTGAATTTTTCTTGTGAAAATCATTATTTTGGAAGTTATAGCTTTCCAAATTTACGAGTTTCAATTATCCCGATCCACTCGCTCGGACTGATTTAATCGAAAATAACCCTCGATTTGTTGTGCAAAACCACGTCGAGTAGGTAATAGGGAAACGTGGAAAGTATTTTGGGTGCACCTAGAGACCTAGTGGGGTCACTCGCTCGCTACGATCGCTCGGACTGTTTTTATAAAAAAATGATAACACTTTGGTGCCGTAATCGACTATATTTATAACGACTCATCGCTGTTATCGTCACTTATCATACTGTATAATTACAGTATATATTTCATCGTAATTATCACTATTTTATAGTTATCTCATTATTACTAAATTGTATATTATAACTAACATAAATTATCTTTATGATAACAGAATAAGCGATATTAAGTTATTTTACAAACTCGAATTGCTCTGCGTGGCAGTAAAGTAGTGTAGCGCACATGCGTAAAAACGTAAACTTTTAAAGGCTATAACTTCCAAAATAATGGTTTCCGCTGAAAAATTCCAACAGTTTCAAAATCAGTGTTGAAAAACACGTTTTTTTTTTTTTTTTTTAAAAATTGAAATTTGTTAGGAGCGTGGTAAAGTAGCCATATGTTCTTTTGTTTGTTTTTTTTATTTTGTTTTTTACATCCAATCGGTTGCTTTTTAGT